TAACCAGTTGAATAGCGCACTTTGCTTTGGCGTTTGTACGAAGTGACGCCAGCGAGCGATTGAGCAAAAAAGAAACAGCTGTTTTTGTCCGAAAACCATCTATTAGCCGTCCACTTCAAGTGCACATTTCTCGGCTTATAGTGCACTCTAGTAATCAAGATGAAGACATAAATATATAGATGATTTAGACGACACAATGAGCCTTGCTAAGGTTCAAATAATAGAGGTTTACTTATTTCTATACGTTAATCTGGGCGACCAGTGTCTACAAAGCTTCTCGTGAAAGCATTTTCGGAAGAGGATTGCTGTTGAAGATTTCCGCGGCAGGTTATTCTTCATGCGCTAGAAAATATGGCATTTGGCTGCTTGCATAGAGTACGCTAGTTGAGAAAAGCTTCATATCCAAGTGCTTTCCTCTTCCACGGAGTTAGTTGTGCAAGTCGTGGTGGGGCAATGTGTGTAACGGAATGAATTCCTTTCGAATGACCATGTCGACTGCCGATCATAGTGTATTCTGTCCATTTTTTGAAAACACTTCTTTGATGAAACTTCCGCCTCAATTAACGGATTTGAAATATGTTTTCTTTCTTTGATGAGCTTACACGAGGTTGATAATGATGTTTATTTTCGGCTAACGTTTCGACGTCTTCGTCTTCCTCAGAGCCGATGATCCGAGTCGATGGTCCATGCTTGTTATTCGTCTCGACGTGGCAGCTTCGCCTTCGTGTCGAGTCAGGTCTTCCTCAGCGGGCCATCTCCTCGAATGAGGCATCCTTACTCAGTGGTGCCCTTTTATGCAGGTTGCTGATGATGGATAGCTGTGATTGTTCGGTGATAGTCTGATAATAACTTGTTTTTCCCGGACAATCAAACCTGCAGAAGTCGGTGTTATTATCAGCTAGCACAAAGCGTTTACACAAGGATCACAGCGATTATCAGCGGAAGGATTTGAACTACTTTGGACGTACGAGTCCAAATGTGGTAGTACGAGTGGGGAATTTGGATGTGTACTGTCCACTTCAGTGGCATGCGAAACATTTTGCCAAAATGAGACAGGCGAAACGATTGACCCGCATGGTGTGGTAGTGAACGCTTTAGCCTTCGCAAAATGTAATAGCGTGTTCTTTCCCCACCACAGGCACCTGCGGTTCGGGGTTTTGCATCTCAGCATCATTGTGGTTGAACCACACATAATACCTTGTCGTGAAAAATTCTAATAAGCAGCAAATAAAAATTTTTTGCCACATTATGTATTCGATAACTGATCGGAAGTTGATCGACATAAGGAAAGTGAAACCGAGGACCCATGCTCTACCTCTAATGATTTACAGGAAGCCTTTTTTCGAAGAAGCTGACTGGTAACCTGACTCACAAATAGATGTCATTTCACTTTGGATCGTTGTGATGAATCATGGTTACTGTATGAAACGTGTAGATACGAAATAGATTCAACTATGAGACAAAACCTTTCTAAATGCAGATAAATTGCATACATACCCTTCCTACCCACAAAACGATATAGCGGAGTCTCTTCTACAGTCCTGTAATGTTTGCAACAAGTCAATTTCACTATTTATCCAACAATTATTGTTTATTGTGAAAAGCCAGAAAGTCCATAAAGGGTGCAAGTAGGGCTCGTCATAAACTTGTCCAGGAAGTTCTAATAATAAAAGGTTCTATTTGTTGAAGTAATTCAGCCGACCGACTTTCTATCTATAAACTTCGAAACACTCGCCTCGCCGTTTTTTTTTGCTGAAAAAATTGGTTCCGCTATACTATGAACTTAGTTTAGATCGTGGGCGCTTGTTGTGCACAGTCCATTTCTACTGGTACGTCATGATGCAATCAAGAAAAGGAGTAGCTTTTACACCATAAAAGAATCTTATAACTGGTTTTCTTCAACGATTTTATATTTTCTTCAATTAATATATCACGCTTTTCGGCTATATCAAGATGGACCTAAACGAAAGAATATTTTCAAATCATCGTCGTCGAAGTCTGTGAGCCAACCATGACTCTTATCGTCTTAAGGGTGTCACGAACATTCCTCAAAGCTAACGCAGAATTTTGCAATTTAGTCTTTGAACAAACTTTCAGCAAGTACTTTTCTTAGCATCCTCGAATGTTTGAAAAAGTGGTAGTCATTTGGTGAGAGGTACTATGAATAACACAGAAACTAGATAGGTAGGTTACATGACGAGAAGAGCTGATGAGCGGAAAGTGTAGTATAGTGGACGTCAAAAAGGAAACAACCGTCCTGTGCTGTGATCGTCTACAAGACAAGCGATCTTCTTGAAGCTGCCAACGTTTTATGGGCCGTGGAATGCTACTCATAGACGTCACCATTCTCGAAACAATACACTGTGGTGGTTAGCACAACTTGTTCGGATTGACCATCCAACTATTCAAGTATGATAGTTTACTAAAATGGGTGACTTCTTCGTCTATGTAACGTCGTGGAAGGGAAAAACTCATAAAAATTCTTGATCTTGTATCGGAAATCGCCATTTTCCTCCTATCCGATAGTTGTCATCGCTTACTTTAACCCTTCTGATTTTCAAGAGCTATTACATTGTCGAGATCAGAGTGATGATGAGTGTGCGAAACTGCAGTTAAGCAGCTCTACTTAGTGCAAACAAAGCGATTTCTCTTCCGAGGAGTTCCGTCCACTAACTGTTTTTATGAACAGCTTACTTATACTTACTCAGCATCACATTTCTAGGACCCTTTACCACATTTAACATATAAAGAGAATAAGATAAATGTTCAGGTTTTATTCGAAAAGATTTTGTGCTCTTTTTGGACTATAATGACCGCTTAGACCACTTAGACCATGACACCCATAATGCTAATTGTCTTCGGTCGTATTTTACCTCTTCAAAATTTTATCTCGATAGAATTGTTGTTCACAACAACTACAATGTTTTGAGGTAAAATTATTTTTTGCACTTTACATGTTCCCCATCACATCTGGTATGTGTTCGATTCGTTTCGCTTGCATTCATCCACACAAGGGTCTTCGAGCATATTATTTTTGCCGTTATTTCGACTTCTTCTCGAGGATATCGTCTTCTTTATGAATGTTGTAGAATTCTAGTCGGGTCGATTATCCTTGCAATCGCTGAGCTAAGGCGTTCCCACATGGAACGGAGAAATGCGTTGGAGAGGGCGTTCAAACCCAGCATCTTCCTTCCGGATGGACTGCATCACTACTCATTGTTTTGCCTCCTCGCATTCTTTTTTCTTATGAAATTCGCTGCCATCTTATGGTTTCTGTTTACCTGCACCACTTGAGAAACGTTGTCAAGTGCAACTCAATTAAATGCGGGAAATCACGAACACTGTTACACCAAGCCTATGACCTTCATGGATATCGGAGAGGCTGTTCTTCATCCTGCGACTTTCTTTGATATCGGAAAGGCTGTTGTTGTAGAATATTCTCTATTTTTACTGATGGTGTTAAATTCCAGAAATTTTGCACTTTGTGTTGAAGGTAAATGAGGAAGATGTCGCGAAACGCTTATTATATGTGTAGGAAAATTCAGAGTGTAATAGTCGTCGTGTGCATGAAGCGCTGGCGAACGTTTTGTTTTCAACCTAGACAGCGTGTCACGAAGTGCTCTTGACAGCCGAGTCGTTCCGAGTCCATCTGTTCCAGCTTGACGTCACAACTGAGAGCAGTGGGCGCACCGAACGTGTCTTGTCTGGAAATTCTTCTTTTCAGTCGATGTTATGGATGAGCAAAGTCGACTTCACAGCAGATGTTGTGTCTTGTGTATCGTATCGAATGGTTCAATAACCTGTGTCCGTTCGTTTCCGTGAACATTCATATTATATCCTACAAATGTATTTTTGCTACGTAGGATTCTGCCCCTCCGTGTTTTTGCTCGGACATAAATCCTCCAGTCAGTTGATACAGCAAAGGACTTTGTTATAACTAGAAGCAACCGCGATTTCCTAACCATTCTTCGGAATGTTGCTTCAGATTTTCTGTCACTCCTCACTACTTACTGATTTGTGTTCTCTTCTATCTACTCGGAGAGTTGTGAATACACGTTTTGACCAACTGCAAAAACTGAGTGCTTCCGTTGAATAGCTGGAGAAATTTTTATGTAGAACACATAAATGCACCCCTTTTCTCAATTTCTGAAGCAAATCTCGGCTTTATTTTCTGTAACGAACATCCATCCATTTAAAGCAATTGTCCGAAGTAATAGAAAAATTTCTATCATGTTTTTTCTTTGGTTCTTTCTTTACACCGCGCCGCTTGGAAAAGAAGCATTTTTATTTCCTCACATGCGATTTCGTTACAGAGAAATAGAAAACCTACATAACCTGCAAATTTAAGAAGGAACCATTTCACCTTTATTACATCTGCAAGAATTGTCCTACATTGTCTGGATACTTGTATACGTAGACAACCCGTTATCACACATCGTGATTGCGTTCTTGCAGTTGTCCGTCATCCACATAGACGGTTGAGTTCGTGTCTAGGTTCGGTTGCAACTTGAAGCCGCCTTACCACCTATCCTCACTGACAGCTTGAATGCAAGCCGGTCGTGATGCTCCCTCCAAACACGAAATAGTCAGGCAAGGGTGTTTCCAGCTCTTCAACATAGACTGCCGCCATCTCTCATGGATCAGATTTGCTGCCTTACAATCCAGATTCTTTTGTGGTGACAACGGTCACTGTTGCGGAAATGAATCCTGTTATTAGTCCAGCGACCGATTAGTTACGATGTAGGAAGTGGAATACCACATTGTGTTAAGGGTTGAAATTAGAATTAAGATGAAGTTAGAGTCTTCCATTGGTTTACTTGTCAGAGATTGGAATATAAGGTGGAGTCACCAAGTTGCCGCCAGAAATAAATGTCGCCTATTGCTCATTTTTTCTTTAAGATGTTGGTTATTATCTCATAAAAGCATGTAAAGTAATATTTTTATTCCGAGTTTTTCAGAATATATGTTCTAGAATAAACCAGCAAAACAAGTTATTTAAAATGTCAGAAACCGATATTCCCGTGCAAAAAGTTTTAGACAGGGATTCATTTCACAAAGAATTTAGCACCGAAGCCTACTTGAAGGTAAGTCGACGTGGTCCTATTAGTGCCTTATTTTTTGTTCTAGGTTTTACAGCATAGCTCATTTAAAGAGCTTGGCATTTTCAAAAAATTTGGGAAGTGACGATTTACAATGTGTGCCAGTATTACTATGGTGCAACTCCGTTCAACCATATATCGGACTAGCAAATGTTAGACTTTCTGTTACACGGTGTCTGTCAAGACTCACAAAAGTATCTATGATACGAAATCCGTATTCCTTTCATGCCATCTGCAAAATTACTCTGAAGTACCAGTGCGGAGGGAATTTCTCTGGGTTTCATAACTCCGTGATTTTTCACCTCAACCCACTTGCAAAAGAAAATAAAAGTGAAAAAATAATGAAGGCGTCGGGAATTACTTAGGGCCAAGAAGTTCCATACTTTGATTGAACGCAATTTGCCTCCAGATGTTTTATTGCTTCTAGTGTTTTTTACAACTTTAGGATTTCTATATTAAAGTGGACGATTCAGCAATGCAGATGGTGCTCACATTTTTGCCAAATATTGTTGCCAGGATCGGGAAAGTGAAACGAGTTTTGGATTTCGGTGCTGGCCCAACGATTCACGTCGCCGCATCTTTTCGACAACAAGCAGATGAGGTATACGAAGACAACTACTCCACTCTTTCATAAAGTCTTCGATTTAATCAAGAAGCCTCTCCATGATAGCTTATATTTGCGAATATTATTTACGATGGCCTAAAAAGCCGCAAATGCCAGAAAATGCTGGACGTACAGAATCGAGAGTTCAAGCATTAAATGATCTACATCTGTATATTTCCAATGGGAAAGTATCACTAAGTTCTGAGAAGTTTCTCGGTTCATCTCTTTGTTTTTTTTCTACTTAAGCGAGCAGGAGAGATAAAAATTAACGTAGGATAGATTAAATGGCTTATATAAATATTTTACCAAAGATGGAAGTTGAACAACAACAACAAGCATTGTAAGAATTTATTGGTAGAGCAGTTCCTGCTCACTGCGGATTTTTGATAAGGTTGGGTGATAAATTACATTGCTGGAGCTCGCATAATGGATTTCTCACGTCGCCGACATGGTTGATATCGATGTAGAAGCACCACCCTTACACGATTTGTTGTTCTAACACGACCAAGAGCAGACTAGGTAGAATAAGGCTTCATTGCAGATCTATCTTGCCGACTATCTTCCTCAGAATCGTCAGGAACTTGAGCGATGGTACGAGGGAACCTCGAATTTTGACTGGTCGCAACCACTGAGGATGATTTTAACACAAGAAGGAAACTCTTGGAATGATCTCGACGAAATGATCAAAATTACTAGACAAAAAGTCAGTTACTTTTGTTTTACCATTGTTTGCAATTTTTAGACATTCTTGAACACGTATAGCATGGTTTAATTCTCTCGAAAAAGTGTTCACCTGTAATTGCCCCATCCCAACAAATGGGAAGGCATGGTTTAGAAGTTACAGTAAGCTAATATACTAATTTACAAACACTATAACTGCAGCAATGTTTGCACAAATTGAAATTTGTTTCACGAGCTTTGCAGACACCTTGAGATCATGGAACGCTTTCCATTTCCGCATTATAACCTCTTATTCCGTCACTTATGAATTTATTGCCATTGGTTCTTAGGTGTTTTTCGTCTACAGCTAGAATACATTCTTCTGCAAGGAATTATGGCTGCTGTTCAAGTGCAGAAAGCAATGAGTTTACACATTCGTTTTCGTCGCTAAGCGATGAGTTATTTGAATAGTTCTCTTTGCTTGTAAACGCAAGCACGGCTTTACTAATGTTTACCCGTTCACTTAAAATGTTAGATAGAGCTCTCTACTGTTGAACTGACAAAGCTCAGAGATGTTTTCTTCAACTTCCCTCTTTGAATGAATAATGGTGAATTGAATCTGACATGATTTTGACGTGTGAAATTTGCATAAAAACTAAGGGCAGGATATGATACAAAATGGAAGACAGTTTGGCAGTTGGTGGTTCAATCGATTTCACATTCTTCTATATGGCGATAGCCACCTTCACAAAGGGTTAGATCCGGTAAATTTAAGTGAACCCCTCTAGCAATGTTTTTTGCACGTAGTCATAGATAGAGCGCCCTAGCGCCCTATAAGACATAAATGATAAAGAATAATTGCTTTCGCCTTTGATCATTCCCCAGGGAACAGCCATGCATTCAACTTCATCAAGCATCGTAGTGGTGGCTGAATGATATTTGGCCTATGCGATGACTTGTAGAGCCTTAGCGATGTCTTAAGTCAGTGTTCCTCTTCCCAGACACGTTTGATACCCGTTTGAGAGACAGCTAAAGTTAAAGTGCTTGCTTTACTTGGTACATGAGATTTCTTGAACTAATGAACATGTGGAATTCAACCGCAATGATCCAGAGATATTTGCAAAACTTGGACTCCAGACCAGATCGGAAGATGGGGTTACCCGTTGACGGGGCATCCACTGCACCATAGATGCCTTTGTTTTGACTTCCACTTAGCCACTTTTCTACACTAACGTTGCCATCAGCAATCACCCATCAACAGGAATGATCTGAGGAGCACAAATTGGCATTGAACCGAGTTAAGCCGTGGCTGTGGTCGAAATCGCGACGTTCAACTTTTTACCTACTGCCTATTATTTTAATTGAAAGGGTGATAGTTGGTTGGAACCTGGCCTGACGTTCAAGTTTTGCAAATATCTCAGCATCATTCTGGTTGGATTTTACAAAACACCCTGCCGTGAAAAAATAATAGGCAGTGAATAAAGAGTTGAACATAACGTACATGTGTTGTGTATTACATGGCACTTCTAACCACTACTTTGCACACGCCGCTCTACGACCATGCTTGTATAGAGCCGAACTCGTACTTTTTTTCCAATCGCAAAAAAACGTTCTCAACTTTTCGGAGGTTCGTAGAATTGTAGCAGGTTCAACTACGACGAGTAAAACACTGATTTTTCATTCGAATTATCTGCAAAACAATTCTGCAGCCTAAAACTACTCTCACCACCTCATTAACACGAAAATGAGAGTGCGTCTTCATCACATTGAAATGATGGGGTGCTCACAGCTGTTCTTCTCGCATTGTTAAGTCCGGCACATGCAAAGTGCAGCTTTATCTCTTACATATATTTGATATTTGACACTTGAATGGTCCGTCCTCATTGGTTGTGCAGGCCCCAGCATATTCTTCACTTATCGGAAATTTACTGGTTAAGCCATTATTGCTCTCTGGAATCCCCAGGTCAGCCTAGCCAATGTCCGCCCTAGGTTTTCACCGCTACAGGCGGTCGCAGCCCTTGTGGATTAAAGGAAGATTGGCCACCATGCCACTTCGATACTAGGACGGTGCTGGATACTGGTATAGGTTTACTCTTACCTAGGCTTCCTGTTGGAAACGCCAAATTCTTCACCTTGGGAGACCCAGCCAGGGATCCATTTCCTTCTGGACATCGCGGTCAGACACCGAAGAACACCTCCCAGCCACGATGAGGTGGTAAACCGTTGGTATCTTTTACGTATAACACTTTGAATTCTTTTTTGAAGGAGAATCACCTATATCATATGTGGTCCCGTTGATCGACGAGTGAGACGAGTGGGCGCCAGTAAATCTATTTTTCGCTGTCGCGTTCAAGAGTAGCCCAGTGGGTTCTGCTCGCTCTAGGGACTCGTCGAGCATCATATCTTTCTTCTAGGCTTTCGGTAAAGAACTCTGACCATCGGGTCAGTGGTCTTCTTGCAACACGTTTGATATCTCGAGGAATCCAGTCACTAACTGCTCTTGTCCACCGGTTGTCATTCATACGCATTACGTGTCCGGCCCACCTTATCTCCGACACTTTGGCGTGCAGAACGGCATTTTTGGTTTTTGATCCCTAGCGCAGATCGGAGCTTCAGATCCCATCCCTTACTTGTGTGGAACGGGATACTCGTAGCATCGTCCTTTCCACTGCGCGTTCCTTAACGCTGAGTGACCTTCCATCCTGCTTACGCAGCTATCAGGTTTATGACGCATTCGTTAGGGTAGGAAGTACCGTTGAGTCGAAAACATGGGCACGGAGTTGGGTGTTCTTTGTCCTCTTCGCTACACCCTCGATGCTCTTGAAAGCTTTCCAAGAAGCTCGTTTCCTTGTGCTCAGCTCTGGAGCTGGGTCGTTCATCATATTGATTTCCCGACCAAGATAAATATAACTGGAGCATTCGGAGAAATTCGCTCCGTTGAGTTTGAATGGGGCATGCGAAACCAATCCGTTCTTCATGAACATCATGTTTATGAGATCTAGTCGAAGACCAACCTTTCCACAGGCTTTATTAAAGTCGGCAAGCATACGTTCTGCTTGGCCTAACTCTTGGTGTTGTGAGGACGACGTTATCAGCAAACCGAAGATGGCGTAACTGCCGAACATCGATTTTCACTCCAATGCTGTCCTATTCCAGTGTTCGCATGACATTCTGGAGGGTGACGGTAAATAATTTTGGCGAGATAGTATTGCTTTGCTCTCTCTTTTGACGTCGATGTTAATATCGTTGTGAAATGGTGAAATTTTTGTACAGCTCACAAAGAATCTTTCTGTACTGAGTAGGGACTCCTCTCCATGAATATCAAGGGCTTCCATCACTGCTTTAATCTCAATTGTGTCAAGAGCCTTCTTTAAATCGATGAAAGTGAGACAGAGCGTGCTCTTGCGATAATTCTTCAATGAGTCTTGTTATCGTGGGGATCTGGTGATCCAACGTACTGAATCCGCTTCGAAACCCTGCTTGCTCACATGACTCTGCCCTTCGTTCAGTGTTCTTTCAATCCCGTTTAGGTTGACTCGAGTGAAAAAGTTGTAGACGACAGACAGCAAGCAGATTGCGCGATCGTTACCGATATCGTGTAGGTCACCCTTCTTGAACAATAACACGATCCTGCTGGTTTTCCACTGAGTAGGGTTTTTCCATACAGCAAGGTAACATGTGAAGAGCCGAGCCACAATGTTTACGAGGACTGGCGGAAGGTTTTTCAGGTGTTCCGTTCTTATCCTGTCTGGACCTGGAGCTGTTCGATTTTTCACCGGCGAAATTGCATTTCGGGTTTTGGAAGGAAGAATCGGTGGTACAACATATCCATCCTGCTTTATTTCATGTGACGGAAGGTGGATGTGCTATCGAAGAGATTTGAGTAGTATTCGTGAATGATTTTCTTCATTGCCTTTCTGGACGCTGTAACTGTTCCGGTTCGGACGTCAGTTCGCGGTTGCCTGCAACTCGTGCGATTCCACGCTGGCGTATCAGCTGGAGTGCTTCCGGAGACAGGTGTCTCTTAGTGACTTTCGAACTCTGAGCTTTCATAGCGCTAGCGTGAAGATGTTGAATGAGCCGATCGTATTTTCGACGATGTTATCGACAACGGCATATTCCCAGCAGCCGACTAATGAATTAAATAAATCCTAGTTTACGGTGGTTCTGGGACTTCGATTTTAGAATTTAGCGGCTTTTTTTCCTTTCCGCGAAAAATAGAATCATGCACGAAGAACACGGTGGTCTGAACTATAGTCTTCTCTTGTGATACCAGTAATGTTTAAAAGGTTGTCACTGTCAATATACAGAAACCTTTGAACCTTAGAAGAAAGGAAAATGATGACAAGAATCAAGGTTGCGTCTAAACATAAGGTCTTTATTTAAAATCTTCTTGAATTCAGTTTATTGTGTTATGTTGTAGGTGTGCGGTATTTTCCATTGCGACTGCCTGTTATCTCCTTCCGTCGCAATTTCAGAGGAACTTCAAGGGACTTTTGATGTGGGAGCTAAAATACTCGTTTGGATGACCAAGAAAAATCTTGTTTTGTAAGATTTCATAATTATTTCAGACATTGGTCACGATTTTTTGCGTTGAATATTGCTGTAAAACGTATGATGAATATAAGAAAGCAATCAGAAATATTGCTGAACAAATTCGTGATGGAGGTCAGTTTGAATTTCCACTTCGAATCACTTTTAGCATAAAAATGAGTAATTCGCTTTTTGGGTAGTTCGCCCAAGAAGAGCTGTTGCAGAAAATCGAAGCATTTTGGTTGTGTGTGAGAAAAAGGACCAGTTTTTTCCTTCATTGAGTCCTATCCCGTATTCGGACGACCCAGTTGGGCTTCTCCATAGTGACTTTCCAATGAATATCGAAGGCATTTCACAAAAAGCTAGGATGATTATCCAACAACGAATAAAGTGATCTGATTTCAAGGCACTTTAGCGATGTTTAGGCTTTTTTGTGATGGGAGGAATACTTGAGGAAACACGGTGCTCTTTTGGTGGCCGCGTTTTTTCATGTCTTTACATAACGAAGGATGAAATGCTCGGCGCACTCGAAGAAGCCGGACTTCATATGGAAAGCGACCGTAAATGTATGATGTACGATATTGACGGCATGTTCATGATTTGTGCACGAAAACGTCTTTTCTGAAATTCTACAGTAAACCTTAATGATTGTATATTGGTCGCGTTTTCTCTAAACATATTCTATTCAATGTTTTAACATTTAGTTTACTGCCTATCGTTCTTTTCATGGAAGGGTATTGTGTGAAATACAGCCGCAGTGATGCAGTAATGTGAGCAAACCTCGGAACCTCAGTTTGGCTTCGAACCCTCTATTACTCTTTTCAGGGACTTCGTGCTATCTACTACACCTACAGAGGTTCTTGCTTTGAAGATCTTCAAGCCTTGCTTTTGGTATAAATAAAAATAATATAAAAACAAAAACTAAAGACAAAGTAAAAAAGTAGTCAAAGGTGAAGTAAAGTTTGGTAAAAACAAGAGTGAGAGAAAAGCGAACCATGTCGGTTGATGTGGTGTAACACTTGAGCCCACGAGGTTCCGAAATTTGCTCATATCTCAGCATCATTGTGGGCGACATGAATTTCTTCCGTTGGAAGTTATTAGCCAATAAGATTTCAATGTTCCACATGTTCTTTACACCAATTGTTATAGCGTTTCTCTCTACGCGTTTCGTTACTATATCTTTTCTAGCATTAGCGTCTTGAGACTTATTTCTGCCATTGCACAAACGGCTATTTCTCATCTCAGACGCTGTTGTTTAAATGGACCAGCTAACTGCATCATATTCTTAGCATTTCTAAGATGGTTACAATTTTATTTGAAAAATGATGTTTTGCTTTAATAAAGTTGCATGACAATGTGGTTGCCCTCCTGTCCCACATAGTCGCATAAGGTTTAGAACAGTCCTCATAAATGCGTAGTAGTGTGTTGCCCTTCAGCAATCAAAATTTTTGTGGGAACTTAAAGCTAAGGCATGCTAGATATGCCGCTGCTTCACCATCAGCGCATGATGCTTCTCGCTTATGAATGTTAATGTGCGGCAGTTCACCTTCTAATAAATGTGCTCACCCAAACATTGGAAAAATTTGACGACGACTAGAGGTCCTTGCTAAAACTAAGGTAGTGGGAAACTGGCGTCAGGTATCTAAAATTTAGACGCAAATTCACTAAAAATTTAGAAATCTATTGTCTCATCCTTGAAGACGAGGTTGCTCTCATAGGGGCGTTTCGAGAACGCTTTATCACCAATCCTGTCCAACTTTGTGACTCAGATCCTCCTGCGTCAAAAAACTTCGCATCGTTACGGAAGGCTTTCCTTGGGCGAAAAGTTTTGAAGGTCGAACTGATGGACTCCCTAATTCATGAGCTTTCCAATAAATGGTATAATATACCATTCTCAAAGATGCTTCTCAGAGTCAATTAGAAATGCTCAATATCAAATTTTCCACAGCTGGAAACCAAGACGTGAACAATCAGAATACTGCCAACACTTTTTCAGATTCCGAGGAGATAAAATTCGTTTATGGCGCTTTTCCACGGAGTTCATTTTGCAAACAGCAATGTCATTGAACAACTGGAATTGCTTACAGAAAGCGACAACCTCCTTCAAGGTAACGTTGATATTTATGGTAACACGACCATTTTTAGAGACTATAAAAATCCAAATGACGTTCCAGAACTTTTAAAGTTTCCATTCTAAACGACTTTCAAATACAATAAGAAGACTGATCACTCAAATTACCCTTTAAACAATGGGACAAATTCTTTTTCACAACAGCTCAAATACTCTAGCTATCGAAAAATTATGAACAGTGAAATATAACCACAATGATAATGAGTTGTTTACAAAACTCCGAACCGCAGGTGTCAGCGGTGGAAATCTTTTATCGTTTCCGGAGTTTAACGAGTGCACCACCACACCGTGCGAGTCTTACATTTCGCTTTTCTCTCAGCCGTGTTTTAACCTTTAGGTGTCATAAGCCATCTCGCGTCAGCGAGATTGATCTGGATAGCACAAATCGGCATTGAACCCAGTTAAGATGATGCTTTATTATAAGATGAAGCACGTGAGAAAACGTGGTGGATGAGAGGAAGAAGAATCGAATGGTCCGCATTGTTTGATGGTGAACACGTTAGCTCCGGAACGAGTAGGATTCGATCGCCACCGCAGACAAAAGCATATCGGTGTTTTGCAAATATCTTAACATCATTGTCGCTATATCTCATGTCATATCCTGCCATGAAAAAAGAATAGGCAATAAATAAAAAGTGACTATATTATCAACAGCTTTGGAAACACTACTTATGGAATGTTAAGTGTTAATGACGTACGGAAACAGAGGCAGAAAAATTTGCAGTTTTCTGTTTATTCGAAAACATCTGCTGCTCGAAACATGTGATATCACAAATTTATGTACGTTGTGATAATCAGTAGTGGTCGGCTTAGCAGTTCAAGGCTTTAAAATAAACCATATATGTCGAACAAAACTTGCATTTAAGGAGATTCTAGACCTGAATAATCTGTTACATCGTGAAGTTGTTGAGAGGGTATAGAGGTCATGCAGCAGAATTTCGTCGAAAAGTAATTCTCATTAGCAAACCGAAAAAGGTTGCTTTTACTGTGAAACTTGCTAGACATCTTCGCCAAAATGACTGACTAAGCATTAAGCATTTAAAGAACATTTGCCGGAGAGTTACTTGTTCTGGAGAGTCAGGCTTTTATTCAGTGGATTTCTCAACCTGCAAAGTAACAATTGCTGGTGTTAATGAGCCCTATGTTCATTGCTACGTCTTTACCAGAGCGGTAACGAAAGCAGTATACCACCGATAAAATAGGTCCAATCGCAAGAATGATCGGTGATTTTAAAGTGTTGCTTATTACCTCAATGATAGGCAGTGGAGTTAAGCCGACAAACACCCTTATAAAAAGAAAAGAATGAAGTATTATTCCATTCTTGTCAGTATACTATTCTTTTCTTCGAAGTTCGATCTGAATGGGAGAGACAATCGCTCCTGGTACTCAGGTTCGTCAACTCTATGTAATATATCGAAACTGTATCATTACTTCGCTGAAAAGGATGGGGGTGCGAGAAAAGAGTTGTGTAGATTCATCAAATCGCCGCAACAAGACTCCGTCCTTAATTTGTACCGTCGATCATTTCCAGTCGTTTTTGAAATTTCGATATTCTAACGACTAATTGGATACTTCCACTCGGTTACAGATTGAGCGATGGTATGTTGAAAAAAAGCTCGGAGAAGGAGGATTTGGTGCAGTTTATAAGGTAGACGAGTGGTGAGTCCTAAAGGCTACTTTTCAAAACTATTTTGGATCGCCGTTTAGGTTCGTGATCAGGCTGGCGAATACGCGTTAAAGGTAGAAGGCACCGACGAGAAAGTTCAGGTACCGGCTCAGTAATGTACAACTTGTATGATTTCTAACTGATCTAATTTAGGTTTTAAAAATGGAAGTGTTCGTCTTGACTGAGCTAGCTGCACGAGGTGGTCGACATTTCTGTAAAATTGAGGACAAGGGGCGATTCCGAAACTTTAACTACGTCGTTATGACTCTTGTTGGGAAATCTCTGCACAATATTCGTAAAGAGCGTCCGTCTCAGTGTCTTTCAATAGCTTGCGCACTTTCTGTGGGGATACAGTGCCTAGAAGCGCTAGAGGGTGAGATCTTCTCAAACGCACATTCTAATTTTATTGTAGTAGAATAATGTAGTTAAGATCTACATGGTATTGGTTATCTACACCGCGATGTCAAACCCGGTAACTACACAATTGGAAGGCCAGAAGTGAATGAACTACGCAAAATTTACATCCTGGATTTTGGAATGTGCAGAAAATTCACGAACGATCAGGTCCTCTTGGAGATTTTTTCCTTTGCTTAGTCTTACAAACATTTTACAAACAGCATTGCTAAAAGAAAACAGATTTTAGACTAAGCAGGTTAACACGGCAAACTTAGGTTTTGTATAATTCAGGACTTCATGATGACTGAATTTGTCTGCTAGTTCAAACACCGCATTTACAACAATACTTGATACTTGATACTTGAACGGCCCCGTCATCACTAGTTGCGCCGGCCTCAGGAAAATCGCAATTTTTCGGAGATTTGCTGGTTAAGATATTGTGGTTCCCTGAAATCCCGAGGACAGCCTCGCCAAAGTCTGCCCCAGGTCGTCTCCACTACGAGCAGTCGCAGCCCTTGTGGATCAGAAAGATTTACCACCATGCGATTTTGATACCAGGACGGTGGTGGTTCTTGGTGTTGGTTTACTCTTAGCTAGGCTTCCTGAAGGAAACGCCGGACTCCTCAGCTTGGAAGACTCTACCCAGGGGACGAATCCCTTCGCTGTACATCGCAGTGCGACACCCAGGAACACCTCCGAGCCACGATGAGGCGGTAAACCGTTGGGAGGGTTTACAACAATATCTAGTTTTATTTGAAATCACGAACGATCAGTAAATTGGTAGGTACATTGAAGTTATACGTTTCGATCTGCCTTTTTTGAATCACGTAGGCTCTAAACTTACCCAAAAATTTTGGATATTTTGCCCGTTCTGCAATTCGTTATCTATTGCATAGGTTACGTTTGTCGCTACAACGCAGAATCAGTGCGCAAACAGTTATGTTATGCTGAGAGACATGCGAAACGAAGGACCCGCATGGTGTGGTGGTGAACGCGCTACTCCCCGGAAAGGATAATAGCGCGTTCGTTCCCCACCATAGACACCTGCGGTCCAGAGTTTTGCAAATATCTCAGCAACGTTGTAGTTATGTTATGATTCGGTTTTTTTTTATTGTTATGTTTTTTTGATTTTTTTTGTTTGTTATGGTTATGGTAAATCTTGATTCTTAAACTGATCAGTTCACTTTGCGTTACCATTTAATTCCGAGCGTGAAAGAACATTGCACATTATAAGAACCTGAAATTTTGTACCCTAATCTAGCTACTTTCAGGGAATCATCAGGAAACCCCGTGCTGCTGCCGGATTTCGTGGGACAGTTCGTTACGCTCCCATTTCCTGTCACTTACAAAGAGAATTATGCAGGAAAGACGATGTCGAAACTTGGATTTATCAGCAGGTGGAGCTCACTGTTGGAAGAGTACCGTGGAGAGAAGTACAAGACATGAAAGAGGTTGGTTCCTTCATTTTTTTTTACAAGAATAAAACAACGATGTCAGTGGCAATATGGCTTTAGGTGGGTGAGTACAAAAGGCGATGTCGTCAATCTCCCGGCATCGACGAGCTGTTCGCACCGCCATGTCCTAGGGAGTTCTACGAAATCCTTCAAATAGTCGATTCTCACAAATATTATGATCAGCCTAATTATCAACAGATCTATGCGGTGAATAGCGCACTTAATTTCAACTTTTTGAAGAGAAAATAAGAATTTCTACAATTAGCAGTATTTAACTTTCCCATTTCAATCGTTGTACAAATTAAATTCTACTTTCAAGCTCATGCGGAGGGCTCTCGCAAACTGTGGTCAACCGGAATTCCCCTACGACTGGGAAAGATAGTTCAATTACAACATTGTGGCACTTTGGACTGAACAAATAAAGACGTCTGTATCAGAACGTTAATGGGTATTTCCTTAATCGCAATTCATGACTATGCATTAAACCTCATACTACCAGAGATTTGTTCTTGGCTGTAAACGCATCTAAAACGGATTTCACGCTGCTTTTACGTGGTCCATCGAGGACAAAACTCTTTGTGAAGACTCTCAGGAAAGACGGGTGTTCTATACGAAAAATTTAACACTTCGAAATAGCTCCGCAATATAAGGATAAGCGTTTAGTGGAGTTAAGCTCTTTAATTCATGATGCCTAAGACACAGTAAGCGCAATGGGTTAGCGCAAAGTAGACATAATGGATTGCACCAAACGCATTTCAGGTTTAATAGTTTATTTTGCCAACACAGCTTTTTGCCTACTATTTTCCATTTAGCCAATAGTTTGTCAAACACAGATTTAATTTCAAGCGTGGTCCTCGAAAAGCTATGCTTCATCCATCATAGTTTGCTGAAATTTTCCTTCGGACGAGTTCATTTGGAGGCGAGATGGTATTACTGCAGAAGACAGCGCACACAAGAAAAAGTACTCCTTCTTTGATGAGCTTACAGGAGGTTGATAAATAATTTTTATACGGGTAACGTCTCGACATTTTCGTCTTCATCAGAGTCTTCATCGTATTCATCGTCTTCATCACGATCCGAGTCGATGGTCCATGCTTGTTATTCGACAATCGACTCGGATCGTCTGCTATGATAAATACGAAGACGTCGAAACGCTAGCCGAAAATAAATATATTTATCAACCTCGTGTAAGCCCATCAAAGAAAGAGTACATGTTGACTAGTAATACCGAGGTTAAAAGAAAGTCGGTTCCGAAATATACAAGAGAGAGTGTCCTCAGTGAAGAGGGTGCAGAGATGAGCTCTTTGCATTTGAACAATGAAGTTCAACGCTTACAAACAGTTTATCCTTGCTACAAGATAATAAACCACTCAGAAAGTTTCTTCGAAGTGACTCGGTGCTCACGAAGTATATGCGTTGATCAAGTGCTTCAGGTCAGCTTGCCCTTAGGGGGTACCAAGTCTCTACATGAAAAATTTTTAAAGACGTTTTAGACGTTTGTGCAAAACTATAATCTCTAATTTCTAATTTATACAAGCATATAATCTATAAGTACGGGATACTTGGACGACCCAAACTCATTGGTTGTGCGGGCCGCGGTACATTCTCCATTCTTCGGAATTTTGCTGGTTTAGCCACTGTTTTCCCGGAACACCGAGGTTACTCTTCCGATTTATGCGCGGTCCGACCTTTTTCCTGCTTTCTTGAGCTCATTGATCATTGTCTCTGCATCGCCGTTACTTTTGAGAAGAGACGGTGTAGTCGACGGAACGAAAGTTTGATAGGAATATTCCATCAGTACGTATGCCCTTCTCGTCCCAGTCAAGTGACTTCATTATCCACTGCAGTGCGGCACCAAACTGCTTTGGAGATATTGTTTCGCCCTGTCTAAGGTGTTTTTCTATGGGCATGGTAAGAAGTCACTGATTTCCCTCATATGAGGGACCTCCAGCGGGTGAGTCGCCAGGCTACGTGGCGCGTCCCCATGTGGCAGACAGGAGGTCAGTCACGGCGCAAAGGCGACCTCTGCTTCCCTGAGACGCAGGTGAATCCAGAGAATGGACTTTCTGTCTGTGCTGCGCTGATTTTGCACATACCATCTGTATTTGCTAGGCGTATTCATGCATGCGAGTGTGGGTGCGTTTTTGCCTATGCGGATTGTACTCTACGAGTCAATTCGGCCAAAAGAGGCGGTTAGGAGTCGCCTCCAACAACTAAGCTCCATGTCCACTCTGGAAGAGACAGGTAAACCACCCATAAGTATACTCAGTCTCCACGTTCTGAACCCAGTAAACCATACGTGGGTATCAAAAAAGAGCTAAAAACAGTAGAAGGAACGGGGTTCATTTCCTGACCCCGAAAAAGCCCTCAGTTCGGCAGCGTTGGGACGAGTACGGACAGCCTGTTAAAATCTCAGGACCAATTTAAGCTACTTGTATCGCAAAGAACTAAGGTGATAATCTGTACCCATAATGCACGTACACTTGCATCCGACTCCTCGATAGAAGATTTGCTCATGCAAGCAAGAAGGATAATGCACGACGTCATCGGACTGGTCGAGACGAGATGACGCCACCGTCTATGACACCGGAGAAGAACTGTTCCTCGGAACATGCGACAGTAGATGAGTCAGCGGCGTCGACGTTCACGTCAACACGAGTTTGTCCATGAACATCGATTCATTCGAACAGCTTAAAACTCCAATCGGACGTTTGCAATTAAGAAAATGTGGAACAATACCGGCTTTGACAACCTTCGTCGCTTACGCGCCGACATCAAGCTATGATGAAGAAGAAGCCGAAGCGTTCTATATGGACTTGGAGAAGTTTTACAGAGAAGACCAAACATTCTTCAAGGTCATCATTGGAGATTTCAACGCGAATAGTGGACCATGAAGAACGTTGCATTAGAAACCATGGATTATAATGGAATGCACAGAGTGAGCGGCTCTCTGAGTTTATCATGACGAACAAGACCATTCATAGTAACTCGAAATTCCAGAAGCCCTGTCCTCAACGCTGGGTCTACCACCCCGCTGGGACGTGGGAGTCTACCAGTGGAGGGTACCATAACGAAATAGACCACGTCATAGTAAACATGAGGTTTTGATTAACCGATGTCGGTGTTGTCCTACAATTTTACACGGGATCAGACCACCGCCTCTTTTCGTGCAAGATTCCGTCTCACGTAGAAAGGAGAATAAGCCGCTAAATTCAAAGAATGAGGTCCCAAACCCACCATAAATGGGGACTTATTCAATTCACAAGTCGGCTTTTGGAAAGATGCCGTTGTCGATAACAACGGCGAAGAATACGATCGACTCATTTAACATCTTCACGTTACTTACTTGGATACCTGGATGGTCCGTCTTCACGAGTTGTGCGGTCCCCAGCACATGCGCCAATCGTTCCTTTCTCTAGCAATCGTAGTCCATGGCGGTGGACTTGTTCGAGCATAGCAGGGTTACATGGTAAGGTTTCGAGTTACATCATCACGTTAGCCCTATGAGAGCTGAAAGTTCGAAAGTCACCAAAAAAAGTCTGCCTCCAGGAACACTTGAGCCGATACGCCAGCGTGGAATCGCACGAGCTGCAGACAACAGCGGACTAAGGTCCAAACTTGCAAAACAATGCAGAGAGGCGATAAAAGAAGATCTCAGAGAGAGAAGAGCAGCAGTAATGGTCGAAGCTGCAGAGGCTGGGAAAAGCATTCGCAAAGCCTACCAAAGCTTTGCCAATTACAAGTCCAAGATGATTGCACTCCGACGCCCAGACGGAACATTTGCAGCACCTAGAAAGGCAATGGAGAAAATCATTCACGAATACTACTCAGATCTCTTCGATAGCCACGTCCGCCTTCCGTCACATGAAATAAAGCACGATGGATATGTTGCAACACCGATTCTTCCTTCCAAAATCCGACATGCAATTTCGTCCTTTACTTCACACGTTACTTGTCTGAATGTAAGGTCCCTATTCAATGGAAGACCAGCAAGAACGTGCAATTGCTCAAGAAAGGTGACGCCCATGATAACGTCAACTACCGGCCAATCTGCTTGATCTCTGCGTCTACAAACTCTTCACTCGAGTCATCCTAAACAAGATCGACAGAACACTGGACGAATGGCAGAGATGTGAGCAAGCAGTGTTTCGAAAAGAATTTAGTGCGGTGGACCACATCCAAGCAATAACGAGACACGTTGAAGTATCGCGAGAGTACAACAGACCGCTCTGTCTCACTTTCATCGATTTACAGTAGCCGTTTGATCCAGTTAAGACGGAAGCAGTCATGGAAGTCCTTGATATTCAAGGAGTCTTTACTCAGTACATAGAGATTCTTCGTGAGCTGTACAAAAATTTTACAACCAAGATTTCACCATTCTATAACGATACTTCATTGACGTCAAAAGAGGGTTTAGGCAAAGCGATGCCATCTCGCCAAAATTATTTACCACCACCCTCGAAATCGACATGCGAGCTTTGGAATGGAACAACATGGGTGTGAAAATGGATGGTCGGCAGTTACATCATCTTCGCTTTGCTGACGTCATCGTCTTTATAACACCATACATTAACTGAGCGGAATGTATGCTTGCTGACTTTGATAAAGCCTGTTGAAAGGTTGGTCTTCGACTAGATCTCACAAAAACAATGTTCATGTAGAACGGATTGGTTTCGCATGCCTTATTAACGCTCAACGAAACGAACACCTTCAAATGCTGCAGTTATGTCTACCTAGGTGGGGAAATCAACATGATGAACGACTCAGCTCCAGAGTTGAGCAGAAGAAAACGAGCTCCTTGGGAAGCTCTCAAGAGCATCGAGGATGTAGTGAAGAGGATAAGGAACATACGACCCCGTGCCCACCTTTGCGACTCAATGGTGATTCATGCGTTAACGAATACGTCAAAAACCTTGTCGCTGCGTAACCAGGATGAAAAATCACTCAGCGTTATCGAACGTGCTGTCGAAAGGTCGATGTTAGGAGTATCTCGTGTCGCGCAAGTAATGGAACAGATCCGAAGCTCCGACCTGCGTCGACAATCAGAAATCAAAGGTGCCGTTCTTTACGCCACAGTGTCGAAGGTAAGTTGGGCCGGAAACACAATGCATATGAACTACAACCGATGGATAAAAACCGTTAGTAACTGGATTTTTCGAGATGTAAAACGCACTGCAGAAGACCATCGACCCTATTGTCAGAGTTCTTCACGAAAAGCCTTTAAGAAAGATATGAGACTCAACGAGTCCCTAAAGCGAGCAGAACCCAGTGGACTACTTTTGCAAGTCACAGGGAAAAATGGAAGATTTACTGACGCCGGCTTGAGACACCCTGCGACCAACGAGGCTACAGGTGATACAGGTGTTGGGTAAGAAGTCGATGGAAAAGCTATGTTTTCGTAGCGACGTTTCAATAAGAGTTAGATAGAGTTTTTACGTAGAATGGGTCGACTCTTTGGTCGACGTGCGCTGATAGAATTGCACTCGTTTCGGCGCTGTCAAACTCTTTATCATCCACCAACTAATTGGAATGCTTAAAACGAATAAACGATGAGTGTTTAAGTGAAGCTGTTCCTTATGCGAATGTAAATTGATTTGTTAAGTTTTGTCTGCTGGGGTTTATTGGGGATTTATTTATGAAGGTGTTCGGCTGAGTAGATCGCATCCTAATTTGACCTTTCCAGGCTCTGAAGAAAACGAAACCACCAAAACGTCAGCTATTGTATCGTAATAAATTCTGTGATACTAACCTCGTGTCTGCTTGAAGAAAAACAGTTTATGACGAATCTATCTTTTGTCCTAAAATTCATCACTATGTGCTTTAAAAAAAAGTGTGTTTTATCAGCATTGGAGAAAGTTTAGAAATTCATAAAGGTGGATCCCAAAGCTACCATGAATTGAAATTGTAATGGTCATTTGTCGGATCTTTGAAAGCTATCGTTATCTGCGGTTCCAGTGAAGAAATCGATCAGCTTCAATGGCTTCAAGTTAGTTCCAGGACTTCAAAGGCTAACAAGAGGCGCCTCCCTACATTAACACCGAGCTAATATTTAAAGGTGTATTCGCTCGACGCGCAACATGAGCGACATTCATTAATAGTTAAAAGTTCTGAGGTCAGGCAAAAAGTTGAAAAACTTCCCGAAGCTTCGCTAACTACAAAACCAGGATATTCACATTTCAACGCTCAAAGAAAATAGCTACTGCTTTCAGGATGTCACCAGAGAAAATCACTCAAAACTGCCACTATCTTTAGCACCTACAACCTTATGCTCTCATATGAAATAGTGGAGGATTCTCACCAGTTCTCCCTTCCGAAATACACCATGCTACTTTGTTTGTAAAGAATCGTACAACACCTGGTCCGCAAAGGAAAAGACCCGAACAGATCCAGACAAAACAAGTGTTCTTCTTCGGTACTTCTGTGTTAAGATTAGTCTACAGTTAACTCTCACAGAGATGACTTCCATATGAAACGGAATTGTAGATAACTCCATTAACACCCAAAAACAATTCCTTTGACTGTTATTGATATGCGCATTATGGTCGAGTAGTCAATATGACGAACGATATATATCCATGACTAAGCAGGAGGAAATGAACTCCGTAGGAGCCTTTGAACAGGATCAATTATGTTGCAAGAAGGCTAAAGAACACCATACCTCGTTCCATCTGACTTAATAAAAAATCTAGACACCATGTAAGCGCCATGAAAGATATTCAGTTCTATTAGACGCGTATTCGAGAGGAAGGTGCTAGGAGAATCTTGTATCACACAAGTGAAGGGAATCAGAAATCCCAACAAAAATATTGAAAGCATGTAGGCTTGGCACTTGGCGCGTTTGGGGAATAACCGATAGACAGAAACTGTTGCAGGTTAAATCATATGAGACGTCAAATGCACAGTGGAAAAACCACCTATCCGATAGTTAGAATACTTCATGAATATGCTAGAAGAATAATGTTTTCCTCAGCAACCCTCTACCTACAGTGCAGAAAACCCGCTGGAGCAGGGGCACCTCTTGTACGCTAGACATTCAAATAGCTACTTTACCAGTGCCAGCTTGACAGCTTGAGTCAATTGACGGTCAACAAATGACTAGTTGATACAAGTGATGATAAACCATGGCTACTGTAAGGAATGCGAGGGTAAAAACCCACTCGAATCCCTCAATACAAATTGCAAAACACTGATTCTAATGTGCTGCCGTGGTTGGCCACACGGAAGTTTTGAAAAGTTAGCGTTTTATCTATAGAAAACTTTTCGTCAAAAGTAGAAAATCTAGTCTGTTCATTACGTATTTTGCTTCAGTCATGCTTGAGTTGTCTAAGTCCATAGTTATACCAAGTCTTTCCACGCAGAACTTATCATGCTTCGCCGTGATTGGGCCCACGCAAACAATGAGCACTGGACAGTATGAGTTAGAAATACTGCGACAATTCTAAGTAAGCAACCAACCAATGACGATCAATAACGTAGAATGTTTAGCCACCATTAGAGCCAGTGGGCACTGTCTATGAACTTGAGTATACCCACTCCAACTTCCAGTTTGGAGTTATGAGCTCATGGTGATCTAGCTAACAGAGTTAGGAGACTTGCTTCTTGTGACGTAGATAAAAGTACAAGGGATAAAGTTTTTGGGATGAGCAATTCCTGAGGGATGTGCTAAGCATTAAACTTGACTAAGCATCGTTAGAGGTAACTGGATGCATATCTGGTCTATACAATACACGCGGTAGCCTACTACCCGATGTATCCAGGCAGTGCTGCTATCCTCCCAGAGAAGTGTGGTACCAATTTCCTGACTTCGGAGGAAGGCTTGATTGGCTTAAGGAGTGGGATCGATCCTATGTGTACTGCAGCGCTCCTCTGGCCACTACTCACATCCCTGTGATATTGAGAGAATTTGAAATCAACAACTTGTTTCACTTTTGTAATGGCAATAGCAATATTAGGGTAGCATTTTTACGAGTTTTCATATCAGCACCTGCTTCACAGCTCTCTTATAACTCTCAAGAGAAGATGAACATGACTTTGTCAGCACAACGGATAAATTAAGTCTAACAATGGTTTTGGTTGAAAGAGACTACTCAGATTCTTCCAAATTTCGTAAATTCTCAGAAATGAAATTCTTCCGAGCGGTTTGTGACCACTTCGTAGCCATGGAGTGTGGAACTGGCTCGAACAGCAATAGTTCGTCTCTTTAGTTGGACTACCCATAACGGTAAATTTAACAATTCCACCTGAAAGCCCAGCCATGGTAAATCATGTTTAGGAAACGCTTTCAACCTAAAAAGAACTTAGGCGACAAGTAATAAATTTCATGGAGGGTCAAATCTATAGACACCGGCAACTGGTTATCTCGCATAACATTAATACGGCTTTCTGAGAACTTCAAAAAAAAAATTTCCCCAAACTAGCAGAATAACGGTGGTATGAGACTCTTAAGGCGAAAAATTCATTGTGACAATACAAATCCGCTACACAAATCGATAGTCAGTTAGAAGGTAAAGTGCGAGTGAGTCCACTGACCATCATTTTTAGATCGCTTGATAATATATTCTTCATTCCTGCAGTCAAATTTGCTTTAAGGAACAGAACACATCTTCTGTAATTTATAATACTTTGCACAGGACTTAAAATAATCATTGTCGCAGACGCTACTAGATCCTTGTCCGAGACTTTCTGGTCCTTGGAGTGGTTGTTGATTTCTCTCGTTGCACAGAAGACGTATTGACCGCCGTATTGGTGGTAGTAGTCGCCTGCTAAAAATTAGATCAATACGAAAATAGGTTAACCATAGGGATAAAACGTTTCGTGATGTCAAATTTGGCACCAAATTTTTCATGAGATTGACACTATTTATGGACGAAATCTCGCTTTCAAGCATAAAGAGGATTGTAACTCTCTGCGAAGGAAACTTTTCTCCCTACCACCTTCGTAAGTGATTTCCGATTGACATTATACATTTCGCCCTCGCCCTATACTCGCCAAGCGTTGGCCCTGTCGAAATCCGGTAATGTTGGCCTTAAGTCCAGAATTATAGAAACAGTTACGCACGTACTATCTCATGGCAGCGTCCTGCTTCCTTACATTCATGAATCAACGAAATATGATAACGTTGCAGTTTCAGAAAGTGGGTAGCGCAGACGGGACCTTGTTTTTGATTACGATTCAACCCATTGTGCCCCAAGCGCAGGGTTCGCTGTCATTGCAATTGCCACTGCCGTAGTGGAAGACATGCAGCCGTCCATTCTGCAGAGGACAGCAACTGCTTATATTAATTCTGATTCAGTGCATCCATAATTTCACTAATAAGACATTTAGTTTACAATTTTGCATGTGACAATAACACGTGCGCTTTTTCTAGAATACAAATTCGTTTGAATACAGTACTGTGTACAATGCCGCTGTGAACGCGAAGATATTTTCATAGTGTTACTTCCGATTCCTAAGCTGATTTCATCTACAGAATGATCAACAAACTTCAGACAGCCGCTTTTTTCAGTTTATACCAAAACGTCTCCCAACGGTTTACCGTCTCATCGTGGCTGGGAGGTGTTTTTGGGTGTCGGACTGCGACATACAGCGAGGAGATTCGTACCCCTCGCAGGGTCTCCCAGGCTGAGGAGCACGCCGCTTCCATCAGGAAGCCTAGCTAGGAGTAAACCAATATCAGGATCCACCGCAGTCCAGGCATCAAAGGCACGCTGGCAAATCTCCCCCTGATCCACAAGGACTACGACTGCTTGTGGTGATGAAGACTTGAAGCGGACTTTCGACAGGCTGACGTCGGCAATTCTAGGGAACCACAATGGCTTAACCAGCAAATCTCCGAGCGATGGAGATTATGCTGGGGTCCTCACAGCCATTGACGACGGGTCATTCAAATATCAAGTATCATGTATACGAAAATGAGTGGATCGGGTTCACGAGATTTGTGGAAAAGCAGAAACCCTTTTCGTTTATTGCTGAACTTTCGGACCACTGGTTAGCACCTCATGGGAACAATCAATCTACGAAAAATCACCTGCACTAGGTTTAGGCACTGGAACTATACTCAGGTATTGGTGGAATTAGCAGTCCTCTCTGGGGCGCTTTATCAGCCATGCGAGTTGAAACGGACCCCAGCATTCTTTTAATTCTGCAGATGTTGCCTAATTTCTTATAATCTGCGCTTTGCCCAGAGTCGATTTCGTCATTTAGGGCAATCTGCTTAGTTGTCTTCCCTCTTCTGCTGTTCCAGCTGTTTCTATTCAAGAATTCGTGTCCAGTACTTAGAAATTTCACACTACGCTTAGTAGTAGTAGTTCATTTTGCAAATCCGTCTTTCTTTTGCAAAGACCAGCATCTTGACAGAAATCTTCTGTCGCTGTTTTCCACACTACAAATGTCTTATTAGTTAACGAAGAGCCACTGCAGTCCTGGATCGGCAAAAAGACGAATTGTATCAGATGGATTATATCCGTATAAAATATATGATTTAATGTGGCGTCATCATTCTATTTCATGCCGAAGAGCTGTACGATAACTGAAAAGTATCGACGCCTAATTTCAGCACACCTCATCGGTATGCTTGCATTTATTGTTAAATTTTATTTTACTACTCAGTTTTAAGCTTAATCATGTTTTTTGGCTTTCTATTTGAAGCTATTAAAGTGTTTCCGCTTCCTGAAGCTACTCTGTGCCTTGCAGAAAGTGGAAAGTTCGTCAAGAAAGGTTAAAAGTTTGCTAAAAACTGTTCAGGAGATCAACAAAGTAGGAAGAAAACGAAGAAAATGTTGTCGTGAAGCAATAGTAAAGTCGTCTTCGTATCGTAAACACCATACGGATCCATAGAAGAGTCTAATCATCAGGAATGAGAAGTCAGCCTTAACAACATTGACAAAGGTCCCAAAAGATCTTTATCATCTGTCTACTCAATGGGAAAAAAGGAGCGTCGACTCCACAGGCCTGCGCAATAGCCAACAATAAATGCAGCTAAAATGGGCAGACCAAGGAAATGGAAGAAATTGCTTAATGAGGTTTTGAAAATATCTAATGGTCGGATGATAAGACTTTCACAGACACTGTTTTACATATTTTTCTAGACTACTAGCACTATTGTTCCTACGCTCGAGCAACTGCTAAAGAGAAAAGATCACAGAGTGACCTTTTCCACTGAAGTGGTGCTCTATGAAGAAATTGTTACAAATAGAAAACCATTTCGAAAACTCGTTAAAAAAACAGCCTTTCAAGAGGGTATACTACTTTTCTAAACAGAAACAATTCAAAATGATCATTCGCCATGGAACGAAACTGACGTTCGAGTATCTGGAGTCGAATTTACTGGAAAGACCAACGTCGTGAACTATAGTTCCGTTCTTATATTTTACTCTTATTTATCCCGAAAGGAATTTTAATAGTCGAACCGAAAGAAACCTGTTGAATTTCTTACCGCGGTAAAATCAGGACGAGGAATTTGTAAAATACGCTGGAGGTGCTTTGCTATATCCGCCATTGAAAAGCGATCGTTTGGATTGGTTGACCAACATCGAACCTAAATGACTTATGGTCTAGCCTTATTTTTCTATCGAAAAGTACTGTGTGTTAAATATTCAAAGCCAACTACTATTATAGCATGGGACACCTTGCGAATGCTGTGGAAAAGTATAAAATGAGGGGAGTTCAGGTTGGACTCCAAACGACAGCACTGATTTCACAATTGTCACCTGTGTTGCTGACATAAAATAAAGCTTTAAAAGCAAAATTTGAATATGGTCATAAACAGAAAACGTTGATGTTTGTGAATTAAGGTTAACCCTAAAATTCTAAGTCGTCTACATTGTGGAATAAATAGAGAGAAAGAATGCCTTGATAATATTTTGGATTTCAGGAGCAATATAGACCGGGAGCTCCATACGATAGCCCTCCCTCACCTGAAATTGATGGCATGGTGATCTCAGGTTATAAGGTTATAAACAGAAGAAAGACAGACGTTTTGGTTAACTTCGGCAACTGTCATTCCTGGATACGGTTCTATACCATTGTTGTATATCTCCCAACACATTATACCTAAAGTTACAGTGTACGCTCACAGTCTCTACGACAACGAAACCTCCTACCGTAACTAAACACATCAGTTTTTTGAGTGTAAATAGCCATTTTAAGCGTTTCGGGAGCGAGCCAACGAATTGGTACTCTCTTGTGCGGGTCCATTTGATAAACAGTGCCTTCTCTAGTTAAACCAAAGTCGGAAATTTTAACCTGAAAAAATTTAGAACTACGTTGTTGGTTGGTTCGACCGCAAACTTCGAACACTCAGACATATTACGATCCAAAATAGTTCAAAAATAAAGTTTCTTAATCGAGATAGGCACGTGTACCGTTCTGCGATCAAAACAAAAGTTTCTTTGTTCTATCACGGTGAAATTCTTGGTTTTCAGGGGCTACGGACTCTCTGAAGGTAGTATCTGCAGTCGCCTGTTTACTGAAGATTTCTAGATAAGTATTTATACAATTTCATGACCACCGGTTTGCATTTAGTCGGTCGGGCCATTGTGCAGCATGGGGTAAATAGTACTTAACTGGATACCTGGATGGCCCGTCTTCACTTGTTGTGTGGGCCCCATCATAATTTCTATTCTTTTGGAGTTCTGGCGGTCTAGCCATTCTAGCTATGTCTCTGGAGTATCAAAGTCAACCTTACCAAAGTCTGTTCTGGGTCTTCACCACCATATGCAGTTATGGATCAGAGGGAGATTTGCCACCATTCGACTAGTTTGATATCAAGACGGTGGTGGGTCCTGGTAGCGGGTTTACTCTTATCTGGGCTTCCTGATGGAAATGCCGAACTCCTCGGATTGGGAGACCCTGCCAGGGGAATGAATCCTCCTTTGTATATCGCAGCGCAACACTCAGGAAAGCCTGCATGCCACCTTGAAACGGTAAACCGTTCAGAAGAGGTAAATAGTATTCCATCCTAATTATATCACCTCCTTCGAATGTACGATATCTGATCCGACGTCGTCATGAAAAAGAATTGATTCCTTTCGCGTCATCATAGCAGTTGTAAATCGTGCTGTTCTTCGTGTCATTTCTCGAATTGCTGATTGTATTTTCCCAATGATTTAGTTATGGCGCAAAAAAGTCGTAGGTGGTATTAGTTGTCGACGTAAAAAATTAGAACGGAGGATAAGTACTTGATGCACGACAGCATGAATTTTCGTTGTGAAACAGTGCATCAGATTCCGAGAACACAAAACCGATACTATTTTTTGCCCTAACCCACAAATGTTGTCGGCTCTAGCAAGGAAAGTGCAAATGTTCCACTCCGTGGGTAATATTGAAAAGAATCACCTTATTATCACCATATAGGCAATTCCGTGCTGCAATGTCTCTGTGCAAAACGTTCTTCATATGCAGATACTCAAGACCCCATGCGGCCTAAAATTGGTTTCACGAAAAGAACTCATTGCTTTGAAGTTTTCAGATAAATAAGAAAATATATTTAAATTCAAAAGCAGAATTTGGTTTACCGTGGTAACCTAAGGGGCGCGTGTAGCACAGTGGTTGGAGGCGCCACCGCGACGCACACGTGGAATCGATCCGCGCGTCCATGGCCCACCAAGCCTTCCATCCCTGTAGAGTCGGCAAATTTGTACCAGACTTGTCTGGGAGGATAGCAGCACTGGCTCGATACATCTGCAGGCTACCGCGAGTCATTGTAAAGACCAGATATGAATTCAATCATCTCCAACGATACTTAATGATGTCGAATGCATGGCGCATCCCTAAGGGATTGATCAACACCGAGAGCTTTTAAAAAGCTCTCGTTTAGAGCTTTTTATGGTCAGTAACGTTAGGAACACCAATAATTATCTACGAATCGATTTAGTACTGCTGTAGTAGCTTCAAACCTGAAGTATCATTTCGTTTTTCTTTTCGATTGGTTGCTCCTGCTTCCGTAGATAGGAATCGAGAGCGCCGCAATTGACCTATAAATGCAAGATTTCTTATATCCCCAGGAAAGCGGAATTTTCTTTCAAGATGATCAAACATTATGTACACCTTTGCGACTTTAAATTTTAATGTGTTTAGACTTGTACTATACTGTCCTACTAAGTTAATAACGTCTTAAGTCTAACAAAACCGATTTTTAGTTGGAAATGATCCGAAAGTAAAGCTGTGTTTAGCCTGCATTCACAATCCTTTGGTTGTCAGAAAATTCTTGGCATGTATTCTGCATCAGTATTCTGTGAACGCGCTTTATTCCTGGACATTATTTGCATCATCATCATAATCTACTATTCCTCTCTATAGTGCCTATGGAAGACAACAATCCAAGCAAAAAAATTCTTAAGTGCCATTCGTAGGACTGGTTTACTGTTCCATTACTACCAATCAAATCAATGAGACAAGAATCTTGGGCTGAAACGACGTGGGTCTTCCGAATTCCGAGTCTTGTCTAATTGTCTAAGAAAGTACTTGTTGTATTGACTGCGGCTTTCATACCAGTTCCATGATAACCATCAGCGGTTCTTGTCCAGCTGCAACACCATAGAACTTCACAACATTCGGATGGTCAAAATTTCTCATTAATCGCGCTTCATGCATAATCTCCTTGATTTGCTCTTTCGTCAACACTTCTAGTTTAGCCTGTAATGAATGGATCAGTATCAATTACATATGTTTTTCTTCCAGCGACAAAACCTACCAGTTTGACAGCGACATCAACTTTCTTGCCATTTTTAAGTTTCAGCTTTCCCATATGAACTTCTCCGAATGCGCCTTCTCCTAAACCGGATGAGATACTTATACTTGATACTTGAATGCCCGTTTGTTGTGCTGGCCCCAGCATAACCTCCAATTTTCGGAGATTTGCTGATTAATCCATTGTAGTTCCCTGGAATTTCGAGGTCAGCCTAGCCAAAGTCTGCTCTAGGTCTTTACCACCACAGGCAGTCTCAGCCCTTGTGGACCACAGGGAGATTTGCCACCATGCGACTAATTTGATACCAGGACGGTGGTTGATCCTGGTACTAGTTTACTCTTAGCTAGGTTTCCTTATGGACACGCCGGACTACTTCTGAGCTTAGGAGACCCTGACCCTGTCGGGATGGGGAGGAATCCCCCCGCTGTACAGTACATCGTAGTCCGACTCCCAGGAGCACCTCCCACGATGAGGCGATAAGAAGAAAGTTTAGCCGTAAAGAAAAGTACGAAACACTATTGGAAAGTCTTATTTTCATTCTTGATGTTGTAGAAGTCATCTCCATTGTAAACCAAAAAAAATCACTGACCCAATTTTTTAGTTAGTTCCACGTCATCATGAGAATGTTCCCAATTCTGCCTTGTGATTGGTGTTTTGAGAATCACCTCATTCGCCTATAGTACATAGTGAAATTTCCAGTACGACGTTTATTTCTAGTTTTGAGCATTTAAACCTTAAGTTAGGCCATTTCATTGGTTCACTTCCTGTTTAAAGAGCCAAACCTAGATTAAAAATATTACCTTCGAAATCGATTCTTTTTTTTGCAGATGGTGCTCCACCATTTGACTGACAGAATCGAAAGCATATTTTTCGATGGAGAATTTTCCATTAGGAAGATTTGTGATAACGAAATGTTTTATCTGGAAAGTGCACTTTGGACTGCAACACATTTGCGATAGCATGAGTCGAACACGATGCAAACGATGCGGAAAGAAAAGCCAGTTTTTATAGTCCGATAGAAGTCTGGCTATTCAATCGCAATAAACTTTAAGAGTTTCAAGAGCTTACAAACGTCCTTTAAGGCTCGTCTTTTGAGCAAAAAAGCAAACGAGAATTTCACCCAGCAAAAGACCGTGGTGTTCGTCATTCTATCGATCATGTTTATGGCAACTGCGCTTGCGTTGATAAGTTGAAAACAAATTGATCTCGTTATAATTTTTCTTGGACTATTTGACTCTAGAAGTATTTAGAATTGAAAAAATACTGTAGGAAAGTTATACCTGCAATTAACTACTGTATCGAAGTGTCCCAATACTGTTTTCAATGATATCCTATAGCAAATTTGCCTAATCTACGCAAAGAGAGTGGAAAGGCGTGCAAGAATCCACGGGAAATTTATAACACCCTCTTGGATTATAAAGTTACCATGAAATCGAGAAAAGAGATTTATTCGGCCATGGTTTCGACAGAAAACCATCCTCACGGACCATCATCTCGGATCGGCTAAGCTCTGAAGAAGACGAAGACGTCGAGACGTGGGCCCAATTAATCTATTCACCAACCTCGTCTTAGCATACTAATCCAAAAGGTATTGATTAATAAAACCGAGGATGAATTATGGTCGGTTTGAAAAGTATTCGTAACATTATGAACTCCACATGGAAATACGAGGAGCTGTGTGAAGTTGTTTATAATTTCAGTTTCGATAAGCTATACAAGGATGAAGCTCTCGGCGTTGATCAAATCCTGAGGGATGCGCCATTCATTCGACTTCATTAAGCATCGTTGGAGGTGGTTGAATGCATACCTGGCCTTTACAAAAAATCAGTGTGGCCTACCAATGCATTGCGCCGGGAATGCTGCCCTCCCAGACAAATCTGGTACCAATTTGACGACTTTAAGGGGATGGGAGGCTTGGTGAGCCTTGGGCACGAAGATCCAACCCATGTGTACTAAGGGGCGCCTCCAACCACTGCGCTACACACGCCTATAGCTCCACTGTCTACCTATTTTTTTGCATACCAATCTTGTGATCACAGGACGACTGTTCACAACAATACCAGCTACTGCTAGTAAGACATAAAGCCACTGTAAGCCTGCATTGAGGTGCCTGTAAGATCTTAGTTTTGGGGCGATGCGACAAACAGCTTCCCTGCAGGTCATTCGAACCTTTGCTGCCAGGCCAATAGTGAATTTGAACAATGAGATGTGATATTGGATTAGTGGAGATGTTCGGTAGCATCTAGAGCAAAAATTATCGTGGAGGTCACGCATCATCGCATTCTGTCGCCATTCTCTAAGTTTGTGCACAATGGTTAACTCTGATTGTTACTCGAGCTGCATGAACTAGAAAGCGACATCATGCTGTCGGCTATTATGGTTTAGACTCCTTTCATTTTTAAGACCTTCTTATTCAGAGCTCTTCTTTTTTTCTTCATTTTTCCTTATGTTGCCGACATGGTACTAAACTCTTATTCGGCTAAAAATCCGGTCATTGCACAAGCGACGTCACGATGAAACAATGACATACTCACGACATATACATAGTTTTCAATGCAAAGAAGCACAAATTGGATGGCACGCATTTAACCACATTCCCTCCGACTGCTTCTTTTGCTACACTGGTTTTTTCTATGATATTATTTGTATTAAACCCGCAGCCGCCATCATCTTTTCTACACACCAAAATTTTCAAAAAACACCCTTTGAGAACAGATTTTTGGTTTCCGTGAGTTTACCGGTGTTCCCTTATCTTTTGTACGGAAACAGTGATAAAGGAAGCGTTGATACCTAGGAAGGTAGTAAGATGGCCGCTGCAAAAGTGCAAATCTATGAGCACAGTGGGGATTTCCTCTGTATCCTATAGAAAGAGTACAGCATTACTACCAACGAGTAGAGGTGTCTCGAGCTTCCCCTGGGACACGTGGCGCAACAGTCAGCAAAATTATGTAGCACACCTCACCACAAAAAACTGGGATCTTTCCGAATGTGAAATATGCAAGACTGACAGTGAGTTAGAACTCTAGCCGAACTCTAAGCAAATAAATAATGATATGTCAGATTCTAAGAAAAACGTTAGTACTGTATGAAAAATGGTCTACCGCGCAGATGTTTGACTCAGTTTCACTTCAGTACGCCTCCATTGAAGAAAATTTTAATCTTATGTAACCACCTTGAAATAATCTAGTAGGCTTGGATGAATCTGAATTGGCGTGGAATGTGTGAGATGCTGCTTTAGAGAACAGATGTTCACTTTACCCCTTGATCTTCCAATTCTTGCCTAAACATCACTGATAATACGAACGCTCTCTGCTGACCAGCTACTGGCTCAGTTGTTCGAACGAGAAAATCGCCATTTTTTCGCAGCATCATCTGAAAGCTCGACGTTGGTGGTAAATTCTGATATCGCTCTATTGGTTTCTAAGGAATATCATATATAATTTACTAATTTAGAGTAAAATAGCATCATGAACTGATTTAGAGCGAAAAAAAGCCTAAGAATTAGTTAGTATGTACTCCAGTTCGTTATCACTGCTGCATTTGCCAAGGAAACCGTTTAGTACGTTACAAGAATGGTTTTGAAAAACTTCGTGAGAAAATGTGAAAAGAATCATAAACAAAGCGCGGTTTTCGATGACGCCCATTTTAAGACCCGACGTTAAATATATCAGGTTATGAAAGAAAAGTTCTGGGCGTTGATCAATCCCTGAGGGATGCGCCATGCATTCGACTTCACTAAGCATCGCTCGAAGGTAATCGAATGGATCTCTGGCCCTTATAATGACTTGCTGTAGCCTAATGATGTATTGAGCCAGTGTTGCTACCGTTCCAGCCAAGTCTGGTCACCAATTTTGCGACCCAGCAAGGATGGAATGCTTGGCGAGTCTTGATCCGGTGGATCGATCCCATGTGTATTTGAGGGCGTTTCCGACCACTGCGCTACACGTGCCCTTATCAGCTCACAGCAGTTCGACGAATTGCGGAATAGATGAGCATAAATTCAAAACAGTTTAGAAATCTTCTTTCAAACTGAGAGCCAAATAGGCGAGAAGCAAGGGAATCATCATTGTAAAATCTGTTCTGCTTTTCTTTTGTGTTCATTATCAACGAACCGTCCGCCCGGCTGTGTCATTCGTGGAAATCGCGACAAACCATAACCTTCTGGGCAATGACTAGACGAAGATGAAGCACCGATACACTTCTTCAGGCAAAATTTGCACCAAAAATTGTAGTCGTTTATAATTTGAATCTGCCGGCAAATAAGTGCAAATTTGAATGCCACCTGTTTCGTTCAGCTCACTATAAAGTACCTGTTTTAAAGTTGAAAGCTAAAGGACTGAATAGATTCCCAGTCACCGCCATAATTTCAGATCAGAAATCATCAACTTTCTTGGAAGCAGAACCGTCTCGAAATCACCTTAATGTCCTCACGTGGTAATAATCCGTGATACCATTGTTCACACGCTAACTGCCTATCGACCAGCATTGTTTCGATGTCCACCGGACGCCAGTGCACCACAGTGAAAACTGAAACCAACTGAAACGCACAACCGTTAAGTATCTTACATTGGATATCAAATGTCAGCAGTGATAAAGTTTTTCTTAAGTGTATCGCTCTAGCATTCATAGGAGGATCAATTTTGAAAACAGCAACCACAATAGATCGGTCGGAAATTTGTTGAAATTCGATTGTACCGATGCTTTATGTTCTCTGATCACTTTTCTTTTTAATACCTTTGAATATTTTTGAACGAGATCCATCGCATTCTATGTCAGAGATCAGATAGCGCAGATCTAGGCACTACTATTCAGTATTGCACGGTGAAGGTAGGTTTAGAGAATTCGCTGACGGTGTTAGTACCACCAAGCTCTCTATAAACTTGACTAATTTGTAAATATACACTATTATTTCCGCATTAACATATAAAGCGAGACACGTACTGCACGCATAATGCGTTCACTAATAATGCGTTCCAATCACTAAAATTAATAAGATTTACGATGTGAAATGCCCAGGTATAGCTAATACTGAAATAGGCACGGCTTTAGTTGCAAAAGACTTCTAAATGCTGAGCTGACAGCAATATATCGTCATATAATAATAATTGGTCGTTCAGAAATAAATGAGCGTTTTTAACTATAAAGGATAAAGGATAAAGCTCTCGGCGTTGATCAATCCCTGAGGTATGCGCCATGCACTCGACTTCATTAAGCATCCTTGGAGGTGATTGAATGCATATCTGGCCTTTAGATTGACTCACGATGACCTACCGATGTATCGAACCAGTGGTGATACCTTCTCAGGCACCTCTGGTACCACCTTGCAGACCCAGGAAGGATGGAAGGCTTGGTGAGCCTTGAGCGCAGAGATCGATCTCATGTGTACTATAGAGCGCCTCCGACCACTGCACCACATGCGCCCCGTCTGTGGCGTAACACGTGGAATCGAATCGAAAGTTTCGTAGCCCACCTCTTTCAACTTCTTCAGCGCTGGTTCCGTAACGTGAGGGTGGCGTTGTCGTGGGGAAAGAACAGTCCTTTTCTCTTTGCTAATGATGATCGTTGCTGTTGGAGTTTACGGTGCGTTTCCTCGATTTGTTGGCAATACTTCTTGCTGTAGTCGTTTCGCTCGGATTCAAAAAGCTGTGATGAATCAGCCCGGCTGAAGAGCACCAAGCAGTCAAACATCGTAACTTTTTTTGGTGCAATTTCGGCTTTGGGGAGTGCTGTGGAGCCTGATCGCAATCCAACCGTTGAGGTGAACGTCGCTGGTTGTCGTACTGAATCCACTTCTCGTCGCAAGTCACAATTCGATCAGGAAAAGGATCGTTTTTGTTGCGCAAAATAATAGCAGACGAGACTTCAAAACGGCGACTTTTTTTATTATCGTTTAATTCGTGCTGCACCCACTAGTCGAGTTTCTTTGACTTTCTTATGGGATTCAAATGAGTGGAAATTGTTTCTGTGCTTACACCAAGATGTTCGATAAGCTCTCGAACAATCGTTCGTGTGTTTGGTTCCACTAGTGCCTTCAATTCGTCGTCGTTCAGTTCATTGGAACATCCGCGGTCTTCCTTATCTTCGAGGTCGAAATCACCAGATCGGAATTTCCGGAACCATGTTCACACTGTCGATTCACCGACATTACCTTCACCCCAAACTTCATTAATGTTTCGAACCATCTCTGCTGCACTACGACCGAGTTCGAATCCATTAAAGAAAATTTGACGAAAATTCGTTTTTGACAGTAAAATCGCGAAGCTCAAAAATTGAAAACGTTCGAGTGACACCAGCATATGGAGTTGTTGTTGGGTTGCACATAGCATCTATAAAATCGTAACTCTGATTTCTTCCGGAGACGAAACTCTGATGAAGACGAAGACGTCGAAACGTTAGTCGAAAATGAATATCTTTATCAAGCATTTGTAAGCTCATCAAAGAAAGAATACATGTTGACTCGTAACACCGAGGCTAAAGGAAAGTCGGTTTTGAAATATTGTTATTGCTATTTGCCAGCTAATAGCGATACCGACTTCTGTAGGATTGATAGTCCGGGAAAAGCAAGTTACTATCACTTGACTATCACAACTATCAACCATCAGCATCCTGCATAAAAGGGCACCACCGAGTGAGTGTACCTGATTCGAGGAGATGATCCGCTGGTGAAGACCTGACTCGACAAGAAGACGAAGCGGCCACATCAAGACGAAGAACAAGCATGGAACATCAACTCGGATCATCGGCTCTGATGAAGACGAAGACGTCGAAACGTTAGGCGAAAATGAATATCTTCATTAACCTCGTGTAAGCTCATCAAGGAAAGAATACATCTGATTTCTTCATTTGCAGGTAGTTTTGACTGCTGCTACATTTCCTTGTTCCAGTCGCTTCATCTTAAGTGACAAGATGCACTTTTGCGACGTATGCTGGTCTCTTTTTTGATCGCACTGCATGGCAGTGATTAGAACAAAGTTGCTTGGCGTATAATATTATTGTATTGAATTCACCTTCACTTTGCATTGTTGCTGTTGTTTTATCATCTACGCGACTAATATTCTAAAAAACTATGACATATCTTTATTGTTCGCCATACCACAGATGTTTTTCGTGGTTCCAAAAAACCTATGACCTAGATTCAGGTTTATAAAGTGCTTTGAAGCAATTGTTTGCCGCAACCAAGCCGTTGTAGTCATGGCAAAACGTTTCTTCTTTTCATTTCTAGTAGCTGCATGCTCTGCTACCCACATCTCAAGATCGCCGTGAGTGAATCCATTTTTTTCATTCAACCTTTCATGTCCTAACCAGTCTTAATATTCTACCAACCAATCTCTCCATGAAGGATTAAAATATTACTATTTTATGATGATCTTTAAAACACTTCTGCTTTCAAAGAAGGAAAGCACGTCTACAAAACCAGTATTCACTTTTGGAATTCTTATAGGCGTATTTTGAACTTCATTATCCTATAAGGAATTTCAGGAATCTTTCGTGTTCTGAATATTGACCGTGTTCCAATTCAGTAATCCTCAATTTACTTTTACTATTTTCTTGCATACACGAGGAAATCCCCAATCTCTAATCACCGTTCATTTTAAGGCTAAAGCAATTTTCAACCAAATTAGTGCTTAATTAGTAAAAGCCGCAGTTATGAAAACTATGGAAGATCAGGAAGATTACAACAGTTAACTAGTCTTATTCAAGTATTTAGATACGACAAGGCTGGCTACGGAAACTATGATGTTCATCATTTCGGAAGTAATTACGACAGTGGTCACAAGGGACATGGAAAAGATCACTATGACTACCATGTAGAGGGAAAAGCAAATAGTAAATCGCACTACGGCAGCTCAGATGATGATGGAAGTCACAGTTCTGGTGGACACCATGAAGAAGATGCTAAAAAACATGCAGAATCGTCAAGCAACTACGGAAAAGGTGAGCTCGTCCATCGTAATCCTTTCTTTTAATCTAATTCTATAGAAAAACAACATTCGAAACCAGTTTTAAACTTTTAGCTACGAAAAATTTCATGGCACTTTCAGATTTGAAGATCAAAACCTATGGGTACTTCGATTACAAGTACATTAGACCTCAATTCCATGTCGAAAAGTTCCATTCGGAAGAAAAGCATGCCAACAAGCACGGAGCTGACGCACATTCACAAGCAGCTGAAAACAACAAGGATAAAGACTACTACAGTAAGGGACACGATGACTACTATAACAAGTTTGGAAGAAACGGAGCTCACTACGGCGACTTCAAGTACGGAGTCTCTGGTCATGGTTATGATGAAGGAGATCACCACTTGAAGCATGGTGGGTTTATCAGACCTGTAAACGTCAGCAAATGTTAACTAAAATAAGAAGAAGATAACAGCAAAGAGAAATGTTTCTCGTCAAAAATCAGGCACCGCGAGACTATTACGATCAAAAATATTTTCATTTCCAAATAGTGTAGGGCTAGAGAGGCTAGCAGCACTTCCTTGAAACATCGGTGGGACATTTGAAGTCATTTTATGGGAAAGAGGTGAACTCAATAACCTCTATCGATGCTTGACGAAATCGAATGCATCTCTCACCTCCTGAGAGTTGATCGAGGCTGACCGCTTTATCCTTTATCCTTTGAACCTAAACTTTTCTATATTTCAGGAATGCACAAAAGTGGGCATAACGACTATGGCCACAAAGGGTATGATGATCATTACGACCGCTACTATCATGCACCTCATCATTATGACTACTACGGACATCCACACGGACATGACCACCTGCATCACGACAACGAATATTACTGATCACTTTGATATCTTCGGCATGAACACTCTAGAAATAAGATTAATTTAAGTTTCACTTTGAAGATTGCGGCAAATAACCAATTCATTGGAAGAAAGGACACAAATATTGTTAAACAATATTGAGAGTTTCGAAGAAATAAATCATTGACCTTAATAAGTCATTTTCATATTACATCAAACAAGCTGAAAGTGTTGTCAGGAGCCAGACTTCACTTAATAATCTATAAAAGAATAATTTGTCGGACGAGTTAATTTTACGGCGAGAAACCTGCGACGAGGGAAAAACTGCCAACCGAAAGGTCTATTACCAGTGAATAGGGTACGCAGATGTCGATGCTGCACTTCAAAACTGAAGTTCGGTAATTAGGGTTAACATTACACTGTGACAAAACGTTACACAAACGAGTAATAGGAAGAAGTTCCTTCTTCAAGGCAGTTAGGCCTCAAGATCTCAACGGTTCTGGTTATCGAAAATCGGTACAATCAATAATACCTACCAATGGAGTAGGCGCGTATAAAAATACTGAAATAGACTGAGTGTAATTTTCAAAAGAGACTTCCAAGTTATTCACTGTTTCCTTGACAAGCCGGCACAAGGTTTTTATTATACGATCTAATCACATTTGCTAATGTTTCAGCGGTTCTGCCTTTTTTGAGCCTGAGAAGGTTAGACTGACAAGCAATCTACTCAACGAAACACACATGACCTCAACAAAAAGCATGGAACCTAAATTTCAGCCGCACTGGAAATCTGTTTGAAATCCCATTAGGCCTCCTGGTGCTGACAGAACTGTGCTTAGATTGTAAATCACGGTAGTATCACCTGTATCACCTGTAGTCCCGTTGATCGTCGAGTGACTCGAGCGGGCGCCAGTAAATCCTCCGTTTTTCCTTGTCGCGTACAAGAGTAGCCCAGTGGGTTCTCCTCCCTCTAGGGACTCGTCGAGCATCATATCTTTCTTCAAGGCTCTCTGTGAAGAACTCAGACCATCGGATCGACGGTCTTTCTGAAGTATGTTTTACATCCCGAGGAATCCAGTCGCCAACGGCTCTTGTCCAGCGGTTGTCATTCATACGCATTATATGTCCGGCCCATCTTATCTTCGACTGTTTGGCGTACAGAACGGCATCTTTGATTTTTGATCGTTGACGCAGATCGGAGCTTCGGATCCCATCCCTTAATTGTGTGGAACGGGATACCCCTAGCATCGTCCTTTCAACTGCGCGTTCGATAACGCTGAGTGACCTTTCATCCTGCTTACGCAGCGACCAGGTTTCTGACGCATACGTTAAGGCAGGAAGTACTGTTGAGTGGAAAAGGTGAGCACGAAGTCGGGTGTTCGTTGCCCTCTTCACTACATCCTCGATGCTCTTGAAAGCTCCCCAAGCCACCCGTTTCCTTCTGCTCAGCTCTTGAGCAAGGTCGTTCATCACATTGATTTCCAGACCTAGATAGATAACCTAGACCTAGATAGTAACGCGCTCACCACCACACCATGCAGGTCCTTCGTTTCGCCTGTCTCTCAGCTAGTTCTATCGATCTTTTGCCATCAGCAATCACCCGTCAACGGGATTGATTGATAAAACTAGCTGAGAGAGAAGCGAAACGAAGGAGCCGCATGGTGTGGTGGTGAACGCGTTATATTCCCTGGAAAGGACAATAGCGCGTTCGTTCCCCACCGCAGACACCTGCGGTCCAGAGTTTTGCAAATATCTCAGCATCATTGAAAGTTATATTTCGCAATGTACCATGCCGTTGAAAAAGAATAGGCAGTAAATAATAAGTTAAAATTGCTTACTTGATACTTGATATTTCAATGGCCCATCCTCATCCCTGGTTGCGCGGCCCCAGCATAATCTCAATTTTTCGAAGATATGCGAAGATAAGGTATTTTTCGAAGTTAAGCCATTGTGGTTCACTGGAATCCCGAGATCAGCCTGACCAAAGTCTGCCCCAGGTCTTCACCACCGCAGGTAGTCGCAGCCCTTGTCGATCAGATTTGCCACCATGCGACTTTGATATCAGGACGGTAGTGGATCATGGTATTGGTTTACTCTTAGCTAGGCTTCCTAAAGGAAACGCGGTAGACTCCTCCTCAGCTTGGGAGACCCTGCCAGGGGTGAATCACACGCTGTACCTCGTAGTCCGACACCCAGGAAAACACTTCCCAGCCACGATGAGGAGGTAAACCGTTAGAACGAATTACGTAATTATATAATATAATATTATGTTTCCCTACCAACGCTTTCCCTCCTCTTCGTGGCTGTGAGGGGCCGTCTAGAGTTTTGCAAATATCTCAACATCATTGTAATCAAGAATTTTGTTTCTTATTGTTCTAGGTTTTCGACTCTAAGAGCATGAAATACAAAGAGAAGGTTGACTGGTTCTTCAATTAAGTAGTCGAACACTTGATTGTGAATTTGCTTGTGTGTTCGATAAAATTTGTAGCAAACTGATGCCGGGCGCTGTCGACAATAAAGAAGATCACAAAGTTCGCATAAAATTGGCTCCATTATTGATCACTATGCTGCTGGTATCCTTTTTCTTGGGTTGAGACAATTGCGTGATGCTCAGCGCTTTTCAGGGTCCCGTGGATATCGGTGTAAATTTCGTAACGAATGATCACGTTACTGCTGTGATGCTGGAAATAGTCTCTTCATTGGATAGCCTTATGAAGGTTTCCACTACCAGCTCCTTTTTAGTCTTTGAGCCTTTCTGTCTTTTATTTCAAGAGTTTTGCTGCAGAGCTCATTGTGACAGTAGTAAAGCACGGAAGAGCCACTTTAATCTTGAAGGTTAGTTTGGGATTTATTTTTGTAAGATATGTTTTTGAGTACATTTTGCAATTTCCCTATTTATGTTGGCCTTCCAGTTCTCAGAAAACTTGATGAATCCAATGACGAAAGTGTTAAACTGCGGGCTTTAGTAGTGAGTTTTTATTTCGCATTTGTTTTATAAAAGTATTCACCTAAAGTACTGGTGTTTGATACCTAGGCATGTTCAGGGTTTATGCAAATGTGCAGCTGCTGGTGGTCGTAATGCTTCTCGTGCTACAATGAACGAAGGAGCATCTTTGAAACTTGCCCGAACTTGCAAAGAGTTTTTAGTGGATTACAGCAAGTATAGTGTGGACGTGAGAAGCTTCGCTTGTGAGAGGCTTTCTTACCTGTCTTTGGACGCGGATGTTAAGGAGTGGATCACAGCGGACTCGCATCTTCTTCTGGCGTTGTTTTATCTTGCGCAATATGCCGGCGTTCTGTGCGTACGTTTGTTCTAGCTCACGCCATATTTTCTAATTATATTCGTTCGTAATGGATTTTCTCCTTTCAGTTTTACTTTGGCATGTATATATGTGAATCTTACAAATTCTTTCGAGAAACCGGAGGTGAATAAGGAAATGGTAAAGCTTGTACAAGTACTTCTTTTTGAATGTGATCTGGTTTATTTTTGTCATGCTGCTCTGATGAATGCTTCATAGTGTTTGTTTACAAACTCCGAACGGTTTACCGCCTCATCGAGGCTGGGAGATCCTTCTGGATGTCGGGCTGTGATGTACAGCGGGGGGATTTAGCCCCTAGCAGGGTTTCTCAAACTGGGAGGGAGTCAGGCTTTTCCATCAGGAAACCTCCGTAAGAGTGAATCCATACCTGAATCGACCACCATCCTGGCATCAAACTAGTTGCATGGTGGTAAATGTGCCTCTTATTGACAAGTACGGTTACTGCATTTGGTGGTGAGGACCTGATGCAGACTTTGCCCAAGCTGACCTCGGCGCTACAGGGAAGCGCAGTGGCTAAACCAGCAAAACTCCGAAAAATGGAGATTATGCATAGGCCCGCACAACCAGTGAGGGCGGGCCGTCCAAATGTCCAAATAGGTAGGTTTCTTTACAAAGTGTGTACGTAACGTGCGAATTCCATTCGTTTCAAATGCGTCCGCTGGCAGCCGAACTGAACGAGGCTTAATGACTTTGATGCATTTTTCTTCAAATGCTTTTTTCCCCACACTTTCTTTTCTCATGCTCCGCGCATCCTTTCGATAGCTTACCGAGCACAGATCAATAATGCACCAGGGTCGGATGAAAGCTATTCTTCACGATTTAATCGTTTGGAAAACGTTTCTGGATGGGTTTCTTTCTCATGCCTACTCTACCTTACACACTAAAATACGATGGGCGCTTTTTCGGAATAAGATGGGTAAACCGTTAAGGAGACTTATGTAGATGTAATTTTAGTATAACTCTGTGCGCAATGGCATCAACACTACTAACTTACTTGGATACTTAGATGGCACATCTTCACTGGTTGTGCGGGCCGGCTCCAGCATATTCTCCATTTTTCGGTGTTTTGCTGGTTTAACCATTGTGCTTCGCTGGAGTCCCGAGAGCAGCTAGGCCAAAGTCTATCCCAGATCGTCACCACCACAGGCAATCACCACCCTTATGAATCGGAAATAGATTATTGATTATGTCTAAGAGACTAAGCGTTCACATAGTATATGTTAACCGATGTACTTCTACACGATGTATCTTTTAAAATAATCCAATTCTTATGCTCATGATCTGTCTCTAATTCGTTTCGTTTCAGCCTCTCTGCTGAGGAAACGTTCATTTGACAACCTATAATTTTTACAACTTACTAGTTTACTAATTTACTCTGTTACTTGTATAGCCTACAAGGACAACTTTAAAGATATACACTTTTTCATATAGTTGCACTTCTGACAATAAACTTGCTAGATAAATCCACAATGAGGAAATCGGATGTCTAACAAGGAAGCGGACGTGTGCACCGGAGTGAAACACTTAAATACCTCTTCTGAAAGTTCTTCAAGTTCCTAGTTTTCTAAGTTAGCTAGTTATCGTAAAGCCATCGTTATTCAGTGTGCGCTGACAGGGATGTACTTGAATGCCAGACGAGCTTAGCAACTGCGCTACCGAGCCAAAGTTAGGTGCTGATCCACTAGGCCTCAACGCCAAATTCGTGATCGTGTGTTGTTTGTTAACACCTACGCTGTACGAAAAACAGGGATCACTGCTGCTAGATGTTGTTGTTGCAATGTACCGAAGTTTTCATTTTCAGTTCGCCAAATATCATGTGCTAGAGGTTCACCCGAAAGACACTGATGACTACTTAGAGAAAACAGTTCGCTGCTTAGTAGAGGAGGGAGCTGTTGCAGCGTGTGTTGCAATTAACAAAGCGGAATCACATAAGGCTCTGGAATTAGTTGCCCGGTAGTTTAGTGATTTGGAAATTCGATCGGTTTTCCTCGAAGTAGGTGCGGTTTCAGACCAATGCTTGCGTTCTCGAAAATTGAAGACTTACGAGGGCGAATAATTAGTGAAGGTGGAACAAAGCTTTGCCTTCGTTTGACAAAAGAAGCCACATCCGAGGGAAAAATTAAGGCTGCGCATGCACTTGCGAAACTTAGAGCTAAGACTAATCCAGAAATAGCTTTCCCTGGACAGCGGGCGTATGAAGTGAGCGCAACACCAGTTAAAAAAGCAACGGACTGTATAAAGCTGTTTACCAATCTCTCGTCAACTCACCCATCTTCCTTCCCTGGATTGGTGACTACTTTTCTCCGTAATTTTGAAAGGTGACGTGAAAATGTGACTTTAGGTTGTTAAACCACTATGTCAGCTCTTGCATCCCAATATTGAAGGAAGATCGAATTATGATGCGTTAGTCACACTTACCAGTCTAGTTGGTTTTTCATTTTTATTCTTTTGTAGCGTGGTGAAACTCGAACTTTGGTTGGTTTTATCATTATACAAAGTTTCTTTGTTAAGGCAAGTTTGAGCGACTCTGTCCGCCGTTGAATCATAAAGGAGAGAGCAATGTTAAGCATTGAAGAATTCTGGTTCATGACTGACCACCCTCATCTTCGCGCAGCGGCTGCTGAACTTCTCCTCAATCTTTTGTTTCTAGATGAATTTTTCAATGACACTATTAAGGTTTGTGTAACTTGTTTTTTTTCTATAGTATAGCTTTTATACTATAGGTTCTAAGGCTGTATACTATTCGTTATGCAGTCTTACTCCACTTGCCTATGTTGTCCCTCGGTCGAGTTTTCACGTTGACTCATCTCCTTCGTCCTGTGAAATATTGTTTGCTATAACAGAGGCCTTAGAAGAGGAATGTATGCTATATTAATGTGCCTATCTAACTTATTCACCTATATCGTGTTCATTGTGTAGCTGGTTTTAGTTCCTGTATTCTTAAATTGGATGATCATTTGCAGTAGGGTACGCTTAGGAAATTACGGAAAGGTACGGATAAACTGAGGTTGTGGGTGCCCTATTCAGCAGAAGAGGATGTGCGGTTAGTAAGATGTGCCAATGGTGCTTTTGCTATTTTTACATAGAATGTGAATGCCAGCAGTCGCATTTTCGAGGAAATTACAAGTTGGCCAGAGGTTCTGAAAGAAATTTCCATGCATGATGATGCTGAGGTAATTTCGTATCGGTCATCTGCAGCTATTTTTCAAGGCAAATTTGTCTGTTTATAACCACGATTTTGAACCCTAAGCGTTGAGATGCCGTTTAGGAATCCTCAACAAAGTAAGCATGTTTTATCTGATTTACTCGTGAAGAGCCTTTCTTAGGCTCATTTATTCATAGGCTGTAATATGTGCTTGTAATGCAGTCTGCTCTGTGGAGAAAAATCCATCATTTTGTTCCATGATGACTTGATTCAGTTGATATCTAGTCAGGAATTATTACTTAGAGATTGTACGGCTTGTTTGTTTACAGTCTTTCAGTTTAGCTTCAAGAAAGAGGGCTTATGGTAATTGCTAACATCATGGTGAGTGATGAAAAACTTTGCTCGGAAATCATTTCAGTAGTCATTCGATGTTCGGTTGCCTTATAAGGAGACTAATGAAATAGCTGTATATTTATAGGCTGAATTATTCTGAGTGCTTATTGCGATAACGAAGCTGGAAGTGGTGACTGCAGGAGGGGAAGGAGCAATTGATCATGTTGGTGCATACTTCAAACGTAGATAATTATATGACTTGCAAAAGTAGAGAGTATATTGAAATCTAGGGAACAGATTCTCGTTTTACCTTCGCAATTTAGGCAAAAAGAGGTCTTGCTGCAGTCGAGAAGTTGGGTATCGTAAAGCCAACAGGTAGGGAGCTATATGAGAGGACCACACGGATTTCAACAATACCGAAGCAGTAACAGCTCCATTAACCATTGTATAACTCATATTTTTGTTCCATATTCTCGAAATTATGTTTAGGCCACTCCAAATTTGACATATTCGCGACTATTTAGGTCGTTAGATGATTGAACACGACCCGAATACAACTTTAAAGAGGCGTATCTCAGCTCATAAGAGATTTATTCACGTAGCAATATGGAATCCTTGTTTTATGAAACCTAAGAAACTTGGGTTCCCTATTTTTTAGACAATTTCTTGAAATTCTGAATTTTACATATATACTAGCGTTACGCGTGGACGATGCGTACATATAATGCACATTTTCATTTCTTTCGGTAGTAAAATATTTTTTTACCACGCCTTCTACACTAATTTGATAAGCAAACACGAGGTGTTATTATTCTTTATTCATGAATAAGCTGACGTTTCGGCGGATTTCGCCTTCCTCAGAGCCGCTTTCTATGAGGTTTCCACTTAGTATGTCCTATATATATTACTTATACTTGTCCACTATATATTACTCTATTACTTGTCCTCTATATATTACTTGATCAATGCCGAGGTTAATAGATGGTCGGTCGTGGGAGTTACTCATCTGATAGCTAATCGGAAGCCGTTCAGGTGTTCCTCTACACTTAATAATTTATAAAAACACGTTTTTGGACGAGTTCATTTCTCGACGATACCCCTCAAAGAGGGCGCGTATGGAGCAGTGGTTGTAGGCGCCATTGCGACATACACATGGAGTCGATCCGCGCGCCCATGGCCCACCAAGCTTTCCATCCTTCCGGGGCCGGCAAGTTGGTACCAGACTCATCTGCGACGATAGCAGCACTGGCTCTATACATCGGTAGTCCACCGCGTGTAAACGCCAGATATGCATTCAATCACCTCCAACGATACCTAATGAAGTCGAATGCATGGCGCATCCCTCAGGGATTGATCAACGCCGAGAGCTTTGTCCTTTTATTACCCTCAAAGTCCGGAACTCAAGCACATCGGCTGAATACAATATAATAAACCATCGAGAAGACTTTATACATGTTATTCAGTTGTGCATATATAGCTCACGTCAGCAAAATTGTAAATTGTTTGAAAGAAGATTATAAGCCAACCAGATCACTTTTTAACACATTCACGACACCTCGTTACAGGGGTCTTTCGTCGCACTATACAACCCATTCGATAGGTAATGGAAAGCGGGCCAACATAGGAGGTCTCCGATGATGAAACGCAGTTTCCTATACTTGGTGGTCTACAAAAAACCTTTCTTGCACAAGTTCGTTGACCAGTAATTTGACTAAAAATTAACCATTACATTTTAATCGCCCTATGATGGTTCATAGTTATCGTATGGAATATGCGGGTATAAAAATACCGAAACAAACAGCATAGGCTGCCAAATCCTCTTACATGTTGGAAGCAATGTATTTCAGTGGTGGACCATATTTATAAGATATATAGCTCTCGATGTTGATCAATCTCTAAGAGATGCGCCATGCATTCGATTTCACTAAGCATCGTTTGGAGGTGATTGAATGCATATCTGGTCTTTACAATGACTCGCGGTGGCCGACCGATGTGTTGAGCCAGTGCTGCTATCGTTCTAGACAAGTCTGGTCCCAAATTGCCAAACCTGGGGATGGAGGGCTTAGTGGGCCAGTGCGTGGAGATCGATCCCATGCGTTTTGGAGGGCGCATCGTGTGTCACACGCCACCGGAGGACGATAGCTACAGTAATGTAAATGGTAACCTACATACCATCCATATCTACAGAACGATAGGGCAAAGTCTGTTCTAAAATCTTTTCATGTTCACAACAGCTCATGTCCGCTGGTAATTGAGAAATTATTGATTACTGTCCAGCAGTTTCGTAAAAGTTGAAAGTCAGGCGTCATCCAAGCGGAACGGTCATTAAACGCCGCGTGTCACAAATTTGTTAAAAGTTCGGAGGCTTGGCTAGGCCATGGGAACGAATTAAAGAGTGCGCAAAAATCCGAATTTGAATTCTGACTGCTTCTATAAATAGCATGCCTCTATCGATTCTATTAATGGTACCCATTAAGCTATTACAACAGACAAGCATTCCAAACTGTCATGTTTTATCGGGGATCCATTTAGAGGTAATGTAAATCTAGGATCATGGCGTCAAAACTGCACACTTACTAGTGGCGTATCAAGAAATCAGGTATGGCTGTAACAATATTGATGGGACCCACTGACGATGTGTTGAACCAAGGGGGACGGCTGTATATAAATCATGAAAGTTCACTTCTTCGCAGAGAGATCGTTCCACAGAAACGGCAGTCTGGCTTATCCAGCGGATCTAGAGAAGAGTGCAAGTGTATGCTGAATGGCATAAAAACATTTCATTAACAACAACATAAACAAGTAATCATTACCGTTGCGTAAATGCGACCAACGGTGATCAATCAACAATCGAAAAACAACAGTAGCTTCATAATAGTTGTGCCATGGAGTCATCGACCGAGATTACGTGTAATTAGGCACAGCACATTCCTTATTCCTTTAGAAAACGGTAAGTGACCAAGTGGATGAAGCGTCATTTACCCATGCTATGGGAAAGAAAAATTTGTATGAAATACGAGGAAGCAAACATTTGCGCGCTACTCACTATTTCTATTGATAGTAAGACACAACATTTTTCTCCGCGTCATCATCTTCTACATAACTTTCCTCGAAAGTTTTCTGGTCGACAACGAATCACGATTTTATAAATTTCAATTGTTTAAACGGAAAGTTAAGATGAAAAAAAGAAGTAATGATAACGAAAGAGAAAGAAATCAAGGATAAAATAGTGGCAAGTAGTACCGGTACATTGGTGGATAAAGAAAAATGCCTATGAAACATGAAAAAGCAGGATGTTCGTACCATTTCCTTCTACTCCTAAGATTTGAGCGGTTAGAAACCATCTGGTTCAGGTGTACACGTACAACCTTGTGCGGTTGTAACATCTGATGATTTCGTTTTTTGGCGAATTAGCCGAAGGTCTAGCGTCGTGAAATGTGGATAGCATGATGATGTCCATCTTATCCTTATACTTTGACACCACTGATTCACTTCTATTCTGCTGTGCGATGCACCCTCTTCTTCTCGGTTGTGGAATATCGCCTCCATAGGAAGTGGTGTCCTATTTCTTCTGTATTTGCCAGCCAGATGAGTTCTTACTTGTACGAAAGAAGTACTTATATATGAGTTATTTGTAAATAAGTTCCTTCCTTCGTCCAAGAAATCTTCTATCAAATTCATGACTACCGAATCTGCTAGACGTCGAATTCTTGATGGATCTTTTCCAGCATGCACTACCATCTTGCTCACTAACTTGCTTTGAGGGCATATTTTGAGTAGCTTGATGCCGTACCTATATCTCCCACATGGTGGGTACTGCCTGAAGACGACCTTTTCTCTGAATATTACAACTGATTCGTCAATACACACATAGATGCCAGGCCTTTTTATAGTGGTGGAGTTCGTATTGGCAATGTTGACAAGGAGATTAATTTTATACAACCTATCTCGCCTATTACTTGAATTGTCTACAAAGTACATATATGTTAACAAAATTTCGAATCGATCTGTTATCATAACTCTTTATTCGAGAGGAATGTCGAAGGAGTTATTCGAACACTCCAGTACTCCCTTAGTTGTTGAAATCTGGCTATATCCCTCTGAATATGCAATCCTATCATTTTTTTCCATCTCTTTAACACTATTGGCTTTAACTCCCACGACCGACTTTCTATTAACCTCGGCATTGATCAAGTAATTCTTCGCATTTTTGTTGAGCAAATGTGAGGTGTTATTATTCTTCATTAACGAATAAGCTGATGTTTCGGCGGATTTCGCCTTCCTCAGAGCCTGGAAAGGTCAACTTGATAGCAACCTACTCGGCCAGACGCCTCCATAACCAAACAAGGAAACTCTAAACCAAGATTTCAATCACCTTGAACACAGCTTTGCACACTCACCGCTTTGTATGAGGTTTCCACTAAGTATGTCGCGTAGAGACCAACCGCACAGAACTCACATGGAAGCATAATGTGCCCCTTCCATCAGAATAGCAGTCTTATATACTGCCCTATATCACGCGTGATAATGAGGCATTCTTCCCTGCGCTTCATTTTCGGATTTCGGAATTAATCCAGAATGCCTTGAGAGCTTTTCGCGCCTGTGTTCTTCATTCGCGTGCGAGGATCGTGACAATACTTCAAAGTCCTCCCCGTTATGTCTCTGGGTCCTATGCGTGCCTAGCGGGGTATTTGGTCTATGTTTGCCGGCTAGGTGTTCTTTTATGCGGACACGGAGGGGTCTGCCCGTTTCGCCAATGTATTCGTCACCACACGTCTTACAGGAGATCAGATAAACTATACCCGAGCTCATGCAATCACCGTCTCTACCACTGGGGAAAATTATGCGATTTTGAGTTGCACATAGATGGTCGTATAGGCGGTTACGAACTAGCTGGCGCTTAAGATTACTCGGCGGTATTTCAATTACGCTTACCGAATTCTCTAAACCCGTCCTTCTCAAGCAGCGTTTTATAACTGTACTTATATCATTTAAGATGAAGGGTAGGATAAACGGGACCCTTCTATCGCTAGAGTTGTCGTTTGGAGGCCTTGGATTTCCCCTACACCTATCCTGAGCTACAGTTTCGTAACCATTAGAAATTGCTATTTGCCGTGCCAAGTTTCGGGACTCCTCTCTCCGCTCCCTTCCGGTGCACACGTTGGTTGCTGTTCGAAACATGTTTCTTATAAGCGCCCTTTTCGTGTGATAGGGGTGAGAGGAGAGGTAATGAACTAAGATGTTTTTACTACTTGGCTTTCGGTACCACTTTGTAATTTAGCCATTTTCTGACAGGTGAATTTGCACGTTCAGGAATGGAAGCCATTTTTCTTTCGGCTTTTCTCGGGTGAACTTAATATGCTCTAACCGTGCATTTAACAACTCGAAACATTTGTCTCTTTCCTCTTGTGTTGAACGAAGGACAAAG